GAAAGTTCCTTTTGCGTAAATGTTTCAGTTGTTTCTAAAATTTTTCGTAAATTTAAAAGAAATTTTACTATGAAAGTTTTTGGTTAATCATGACTTTTTTTTAAAGGTGCACTGTGTAATTTTTTGTGGCATCTAGTGGTGAGGTTGCGAATTGCAACCAACAGAAGTCACGGTGGCCGGCAGGAAAAGATGCCGTCATCTGAGACAGCAGAGAGTAGCCAGTTAAGCAATAAGGTCTCTTTACAAAGATAAATTAGGTTTAATTAATTATTCAGTAAAACGATATGTTATTGCGAATGTTATTATTACTTGTTCATCATTGTGTCAGTGTTTTAATCGCTGACTTTAGATAGCTTCTTTGCACGAAGAACAACATAGTGACGAAGCGCGTTTGTCCGTTTAAGGCCATTGTAGAAACATGGTGGCGCATAATGGCTATTTCAATGTAAGGGGACCCGCGGTGTATGTAGATAGAAATGGCTCAGGTAATAAAAACACAACGGTTCATTATGTAAGGTCTTTATACACCACTGAAAACATAGTTATGTATATGATATTCCATTTCTGTCAACAGATCCTCCTAAATATTACACAATGCACCTTTAAATGTTTGCACTCAGATTTCACGCACAAATTTGTGCATACGCATGCTTAGTGACTGAGACCCATTGTTTTATTTCAAGACATTTGTCAGGTTTCCTGTGCTCTAGTGTAGAACCAATTTCTTTACGGATCTCATCCCAAGCCTCTGTTGCTAATTCAAAAATGTCATTTTATAGCTAGTAACGAAGGCTTGAGCCAGTGATGTGCAGACTAATGCAGTTATTAGAGAGAGAATGAGAAAGAGATTAAGCGTGTGACTTCAATAATGTCCGTCAGCAGCATTTCTACTAATAGTGAAGCTGTAAGTTTAATTGCTTCAAGAACAGCTACGTTACTACCTCGCTACCGTGAAATGTCATGTCATTTTTTTTCATAGTTTGCTAATTGAAAAAGTTGATCACAGGGCAGCACTGACGACTAATTTCTGAGCACGTGTATGTTTTCATCTATGTGCAAGTGTGAGTTTGCACAGTGTATGCATACAGAGAGAGAAAGAGAGACAGCAAGAAAAAGAAAGTGTGCTTTCCATAGATAATAAAGGTAATTTAGAAGGAAAAACATGTAAATTGTCATTTTTATAATATAGTTTGTTATTGTATTATTTGTTTGCATGGTCAGTGGTCTTTGTAGGTTTTGGTTCATTTGTTTAGAGATGTGTATTTACTAAAAAATAATAGCGTGATTTGAATGTTCGTCAACAAATTAGAATCAAGCATTCAATAGCCCTGTGATAAAATGTGTAAATAATGTAATGCTCTGATGCTCATGTGGTCTAATATGCCTCTTGAGTGCAATGACTGACAGACAAAAGCACAGGTTTATGCATGTGGGAAAATAACCTTGACTGTATTTTAAATGATGTGAAGTGGCTCACTGTTTTGGAAAAAACAGCAGATGGAGCTTCATGAACCAAGCTTTTATTCTTCAGACAAACAATATCTGTTTTTAATAATATCTTTAAGGGCGTTAGCTCACAATTGGCTCCATTTGAATCTTGGCAAAGTGAATTTCCAACTGCAGTTCATCTGAATAACGATTATGCGCAAACTTAAGAGCTATAGAGAAATTGAAGAGGACTGACGTTGTGCCTGATGAATTATAGACATTTGCAAAACAACAATTCAACATCACTGTCTTATGGCCAATGATAAATGTCTGTAGTTAAAGAAGCCAGGGAAATGTTTTTACAGGCCCCTGAAGATTCAAAAGAGAGCCAGCTACTTTCAAAGAAGTTTCGGGAGAAAGAGGAAAGATTTAGAGAATGCTTAAAAGTCAGTGCAGACATCTAAGATGGAGTGTTACTTAGAAAGACGTGTCTGAAGTGTGGAAAAGTTGAAACGCTCGTCAAAGTGAATGCAATGTGTGAATTTAAAAGTAATGCCAAGTGCACCTTACAAGACTGAAGCTTGTCAGCCAAAATGCCACAGATCAAAGCCTCAGCACGTCATGCATGTGAGAGGGGAATGGTGAAATAAAGCCAAAAATAATAATAATAATGGGTTAACACTTTACAGATTAATTAACATTAGTTTATGCAGTAGGTACATACATACACTACTTTTCAAAAGTTTTAGGTCCGTTGGATTCTTTTTAAAGAAATGAATAGTTTTATGCAGCAAGAATGCATCACATTGATCAAAAGGTGATAGTAAAGACATTTATAATAGTACAACATTTTTGTATTTCAAATAAACGTTGTTCTTTTGAGCTTTCTAATCACCAAATACATCAAAGAAAAATGTATCATGGTTTCCAAAAAAATATTAAGTAGCACAACTGTTTTCAATATTGAGAATAATAAGAAATGTTTCTTGAGCACTAAATCAGCATATTAGAATGATTTCTGAAGGATCATGTGACACTGAAGACTGCAGTAATGATGCTGAAAATTCTGCTTTTCAATTTTAAAATATATTTAAATATTTTATATTGTAATAATATTTCACTGTTTTACTGTATTCGGGACCAAATAAATGCAACCTTGATAAGCATAGAGACTTTAATCTTACCGACCCCAAACTTTTGAACGGTAGTGTATATTTATAAATAAACATAAAAAAAAACAAATGCTGTAGAAATGTTGTTCATTGTCATTTCGTGTTAGCTACTTCACTACAGGATGTAAATGTACATTACCTGTTAATGTATATTCAACTGTTACCAAATAATGGCAGAATAACAGTACGAAGGTTGCGGGTTTGATTCTCAACACTGGCAGGAAATGATTGAGGTGCCCTTGAGCAAAGCACCTACCCAATCAATGGCTGCCCACTGCTCCGGGTGTGTGTGTCCATGTTTGCCGTGTGTGTGAGTGAGAGCGAGAGTGTGTTCACTACTCACTGCTCCTAATGTCCTAACTTGGATGTATTAAATGCAGAGGACAAATTCCGAGTATGCGTCACCATACTTGCCCTTCACGTCATTTCACTTTTTTTGATTGCACTTTATTTTACAGTATGTACTTACAGTGTACTTCCTTAATGAAGTACTAGGTAATACAAGATAACTATGCGGTTTAAGGTTAGGTTTAGAGGTTGGTTCATGGTTAGTACCTAGTTATTGTAAATACTATAGCAAGTACATAGTATGAGGAACAGGACTTTATTTTACAGTCCTGTTCCTCATACTATGTACTTGATACAGTAAAATAAAGTGCAACCATAATATCAATAATATTATTAGTTTCAATAATATTATAGTTTCAATAATATTATAAGAAAAACATGGAATTAATTTCCACTGCTATGCTGATGACACTCAATTATATATTTCATCACGACCAGATGAAAACACTAACTTATCTAAATTGACAGAGTGTCTTAAAGATATAAAATGCTGGATGACGTGTAATTTCCTGATATTAAATCCAGATAAAACTGAGGTATTACTTATTGGTCCAAAATACTACCCACAAAATCTCTTACAATACAACTTTAATTTAGAAGGATGTCCTGTTACTTTATCCACTACAGTAAAAGACCTGGGTGTTATACTAGACCGCAACTTGTCTTTCGAAAATCATATTTCATTTGTTACAAGAACTGCCTTTTTCCACCTTAGAAACATTGCTAAATTACGTAACATGCTATCTGTTTCTGATGCAGAAAAGTTAGTTCATGCATTCATGACCTCGAGACTAGATTACTGTAATGCTTTATTAGCTGGTTGTCCTGCATCCTCAATAAACAAGCTACAGTTAGTCCAAAATGCAGCCGCTAGAGTTCTTACTAGGTCAAGAAAATATGATCATATAACACCAATTTTATCATCTCTACACTGGTTACCTATTAAGTTCCGTATCGATTACAAAGTATTACTACTGACCTATAAAGCCCTAAATGGTTTAGCTCCTGTGTATTTAATGGATCTTCTATCGCCCTATAATCCATCGCGCTCTTTAAGATCCCTAAATTCGAGGCTTCTGGTCATTCCTAGGATATCTAAGTCCACTAAAGGAGGGAGGGCGTTCTCACATTTAGCTCCTAAACTCTGGAATAGCCTTCCTGATACTGTTCGTTGCTCAGACTCGCTCTCCCAGTTCAAAACTAGATTAAAGACGCATCTCTTCAGCCAAGCATTCACATAATGCTTACCTTTTATACCACTGTTGAATCAGATCGAATGCATTAATATTATGAACAGCAGCTACGCTAATTATTTCCCATCTGCTTTTCTGCTGTTATCTCGGGACGCTAGTCCCGAGGTAAATAGCGTTCGTCAGCTCCAGTTTGTATCCAGCCTCTCACGGAGACTTCAGATGCCCCAACACCTGCGATGAGACGACTCGACGCCTGTGAAGAGACGACTCAACGCCGGCGATATGTTATGCCCTAAATTAATACATGATGATTAACTAACTGTATTTTTCTATGTACATTTCTGAAATGCACTTTCTGTAAAGCTGCTTTGAAACAATATGTATTGTGAAAAGCGCTATACAAATAAATTTGAATTGAACCACTTTTTTCCAATTTATATTGGACTAAAATGTCCAAATACAATTCCCCCACAATGCCACAGGCACCAACCCCTTTAAACATGCAAGGGTAGAAGAAGCTAAAAGTCTTATAGTGGGTGCTGACAAAAAGTTTAAACAGACCAAACATGGCTAAGACAGCATAACCTGCTACACACTACAATACAGATATCAACAGAGGAAAACCTACAAGTATAACGAGTGAGGTTTGAAGGTTGACTGCACCAGACAGCAAAGGGACTCTGACATTGAAGTCCTTGAGAATGTTTTGGAGATGAAAAGAGATTAAATTCTGGGATGTGTGAAGGCTGTCTGAATGAGAGAGAGAGAACCTGATTGCGCTTGACAGAACCTGGAAGTCATTTGAAAGCGTTTGTTATTTAGAGTGTCTGGAAATCTCCTTAATGGCACTGAGCCTCACCTTGCGGTCCTCTTTGAACAGCTCGGCCGCTGTGGTGAAATGAGGGACGGCATTCTTGCAGTGTGGACACCCTGGGGAAAACAGTAAGATATAAGTATTCATCGAGCTGTCTTCCCTCATAATGCAGAGAACAAACAGCAAGAGGTGATATATCCCAGCATACACAAATAGAGATGAATACTAAAGCGAAAGAACAGAAGAAAATGACTGAATTCTTTAAAAATAAAGACATTACTCGCATGACTAACTTAAGCCAAACAAATACACCTGTGTGTAGCAGGTTAAAATGAAATTAATCTTAATAGCATGTCGAAAGTTGCTTTACTTATTCTCATAGGCCCAACGGTGGCTTTCCTGCGGCAATGCATGTCCATCAAACTTACTAAAGAATAGGCAAGAGTTTCTACCCTCATAACTCCTTTCATTTCCATCATGTTCTTGCAAGGTGGTTTTGAAGCTGACGGTGTTATTATTATGAATTATGCATGGCATTTTGTGTTACATGTTTCAAACAAACAACTTCCATCCATAAACAGCAGCCTAAAGCTAACCGTCTCATTTACCGTGCTAGTTTAGGTTGTGTCATGCAATCTTTTTGCACACATTTGTGCTATTTTACATTTTTAAATGAAAGTTATTCAAGTTCACTTTGGAAAAATGGTGACTTTTAAATGGCAGTTAATGGCACGGTCATAATTTGCAGGGCAGCGAACAAAGGTCTATTTGTGTGAGGAACAAGGCGTCTAATTTAAGACACACGAGGGTCATTATAAATAATGGAGCATAAAGTTGTATACCTCCACTTTTGGCTTATGTTGCCATTATATGAGGAGAAGAAAGGCTGGGCAGGCCTCCAGACTCATGCAAGGTCGATGCGAGTCTGACTCCGTGCCCAGATAGATACGCTAATCAAGAACTCAAAGCGTGGGCAGAAGCTGTACTTAAAATAACAGAGCATAATCATTTTTCATCATATGCAAGAAATGTTTTTGGGAGCGTTTCAATCGACTCTAGTTCAGTAGTAAGTGCACTGCCCTAGGAACTATTTCTAGGTCAAAATAATGAAACTTTTACTCCCTAGAACTTGTGTGCGGACTTGACATTGACATCTGACATACTGGAAGTGGATTGTGAGAACTAAAGCCCTTGAGTCTGCTTGATACCCTCTGATAAGAACATCTCATTTCAACTATCGTGCTCGCTCCGAAGTGTTACCACTGTTATCAGGGTCGCTAGATGATATTTAAACCTTCAGTGTGTACAAATGCAAAGACCTGCCCTATCATTAACTACAAAGTTGCTTCTATAGCAATCCAGACTGCCCACTATCGTGTTCATCAAATTCACCAGAACAAAGCAACACTGATGGAATCATTCAGTAAAGCTCTGCATAGCCTGTTTTAATTGGCACTATTCACACCATAATCTGTGCTACTAATCAGTTTTGATTAACAGTCTTTAATACCCAAAACAAAAGCTACTTTTATTCTTTTTGTTTGTATTACACTTCTAAAAAAAAAGCTGTAATTAAAGAATCCAATGAGACTGAGAGTTCAGTAGATGTAGAGTATGAAACAATACAGTCTGATGTTAAATAATTATGCCATTGTTCATTGAATACACACTGCAATTATGTTACACGCCTCCGTTATGATAACAAAAATGGCATATTAAATTGAAATTGTGTTCTCAATCGTGTGTACAACCAATACTGATGCTGCACAGATTGAAAAAAGTCCAATGACTGATGCAAATTCAGCACAAAAGAGTCGAGTCAGATTTCTATACATTCCTGGGCATAAAAGATAGAACAAAAAAGCCCCAAATGGCTACCACTAAGGGCCAGATTTACTAAACAGGGCAAATTAGCATGAAAACACAATCCCATAAAAGCATTGATGGGAGTGGAAAGTTCTGCGCGTGATCTACTGACGACACTCAAATGAAAGAACACAGACGCAGACGGATCATTTAAATTGATCAAGTAAACAAGTATTGTAAGTAAATAATATCATATCATACAGAACATAGGACCATTATGGGTTTTTTATATTCTGACATTATTTTCATGACAAATTTAGCACATTTCCCCTTCAATTTTCATTGCCGTAACATTTAGATGTATATTATCAAGTATAGAAATTATCATAGCCAAGTACACTACAAAACAGAATGACCTGCACAAATGCTGAATTCGGAACCACATATTAGCATACTACTTTTACTATTTCTGCCATAGAAAGATACGAGTAGTATTCTAGCATGCAAATTCAGCGACAGTTTCTTGCTTTATGTCATCTTGGAGCAAACTTTACACCACAAACAGCAGAAAACATGCATCAAATTACAAGACCAGTCTCCCTGACTATTGCTGTGATCTTGAGATTTGTTTACACAAAAACTCAACATAGCAACACTACAATTCTTGACAACATGTCAACAAACAAGAAGGGAGAAAAAGAAGAAAATGAGCCGAATGCCAATAAGGAGGAGACCGTATTGGGGGAGACGTGGGCAGAATTTTGATGTTTTGTTTTTGGCTCCTGCTTCCCACTGTCTAGCCTTCCTCTTACAATTTCATTGGCTGTTGTTGCTCATCGCAGCTCTTAAGCTAGTGCCAACCTGACGATCTGGTTGGCCAGATTTCGAAACAGTTTGAAATGTATTGTAGCATCTACGCAAATTGGAAGTGTGTCACAACAATTTGGCTACAATCTGGTGCTTTTTGTCACAGATGTACAATATAAAAGAGCAACAAGCTTCAGTCTTGACATATTGCAACTGCCTTAAAATATTATATAAATACTATTATAGGTAGTTACAATTTTTAATGGTAAAAAATAATTTGCATTTACAGTAATGAAAATTGGGGCGTTTTAATTTCTTTCTATGCCTTTTTTCCTTGCCATGGTCACCATTTTCTTGTTTATTGAGGTTTTTTTTTGTAAGGCACTATTCTTTGTAAAGCTGCTATGGAACAATATGTAATATGTAAAAAGCACTATATAACTCAGATGAATTGAAATGAATTGCATTAAACTGTGTTCGACTTCACAAATAATAACAGAGGAAGTAGTTCATCTCCATTTCCAAGGTTTTTGCCATATCAGAAACGTACAGAGATGCAAACATCCTATAAAACTATTACAGTATGGCCTATTGTGAATATTTTAAACATTGTAAAATATTATATGCAGGAAGCTATAGTGTCATTTGGCAGATGTTACGCCACCTGCACATTTCAGTGCTCCATATAATTGCCGTCACACATGATGTTTTAGGAGGATGCAACAAAATACCGCTTCATAATTTTAAAAGGTTTAGAAGGCTGGATACGTACTTCGAGACAGAAACTACAGCTGCGCTATTTTTGAAAAAAAACAGAAGGCTTACATGGAGCATAGAACATGACCAAGGCGTGTTTCTTCTTTTTCAGAGATTCCCTGAAATCCTCGGCTCCCAGGTGGCTCACGCTGGACGGCATCTCCTCCCACGACTTCTCTGGAGGAGGTGGGGCCTGGGGACTGAGAGAGAGAGAGAGAGAGAGAGAGAGAGAGAGAGAGAGAGAGAGAGAGAGAGAGAGAGAGAGAGAGAGAGAGAGAGAGAGAGAGAGAGAGAGAGAGAAAGAGAGAGAAAGAGAGAGAGAGAGAGGAAAAGAAAAAAAGAGAGAGATAGACTGTTATTAAATAGGTAAGCTTTTAGGCTGAGATCTCTGAAACTATAATACTCGTAGCCAAGTTAGGTCATTATATAATAACTATACAGATTTGTATTATCAATTTAATATACTGAATGAAAAGCTGATGTAATTAGTCTTGCACCTGTGAATTTAACGAAACTGCATGGCTCCAAAAGCATTTAGACACTTATGCCACAGAATTACACGTAAAATAAATAAATTAGGTTACACTTTATTTTAAGGTGTCTGTGTTACACTTTAATTATACATTTAAGTACGGAGTAATAATAAGTAACTTGTGTACTTACTATAGGGGAAGGGTTAAGATGTTTAGGGTTTAGTTGCATGGAATTATGCATAATTTATAGTTATTACTATAGTAACTACATGTAACGCATGTAAGAAGGACACTGTAAAACAACGTGATTCCAAAAATTATAATAATGAATAATTGGAGCAATTCCAAGAGGGTCCTCGCACCATCTGCTCAGGCCCTAAATAGTGTATTTTTTACACCACATATACATGACCGTTTGGGGTTAGTAAGATTTTTTGATCGAAGAAATGAATACTTTTATGCAGCATAGATTAAATTGATCAAAAGTGATTGTGTGACGACTTTCACATTGATACATTGACGGTTTCCATTTCAAATAAATGCTGTTCTTTTGAACTTTCTATATTTGATCAAAGAATCAGTTTCCTCAAAAATATTAAGCAGTACAACACTGCAAATAATAATAATAATAAAAAATTGGATCAGAAAATCTGCATATTAGAATAAATGCAGCTTTAGTGAACATAAGAGACTTCTTTTAAAAACATTAAATACATCTAACTGACCCCAAACCTTCGAACGTTAGTGTATTTTTGTGATTATCATTGTAGTTATTTACTGCAATGACAATATACTTTTTGAGGGCATTTTACTAGGAGCACTGTACAAGCAGAAAATTTAGGGGCACACCTTAAATCGACCTGCAACGCAAATATTCCCATTTTCCCCCATTTTAACTTTATTACTGACAAATGCTTTGGTAATAAATAGACTTAACTGACAGAAATTACAATGTGCAAGAACCAAAGCTTAACAAAATGTACATCCATAGATGCAAACAAAGCATGTGGTCACCATTGATCATGTTGATCATGAATGAGAGATAAGTGGCATCCTTAATCTTCTCATGGGTCTTCTGTTTGAGTGAATCTGCACATGCTGTGTCGTTGCTGTATGCAGGATTCAATTTTATGCCATTCTTTCTTAACAACTCAATTTGTCACTTGAATTCGGTGAATGGTAATTCCTCCTTAGCTATGAAATACGCTGTGTTAAATTTCACTATCATCTGCTGACTGAATGTTAGCTTCCTGTCAGTGAAATGCTGATGGAAGTGGCGATGCGGTTTCATTAATGTATCTGTCCCGGCATATTTTATGCTTCAAGCTGCTCTTGTGTGCAGCGCCGCCGCTCCCACCACGTGCATCACGCGCTGTGCGTAGGGCACCAAGTGCTGAGGGGGCACCAAAAATAGCCTAATGAAAAATCAACCATCATATCATAGTCATAATAATTAATTATAATGCCGATATTATTTCAGTATAGAAATATTATTAGGCACTTTTTAGGGATGTATATAACAAAACAGGCGGAACAAGAGTATTTAATTGCTCTAAAAAGTAACGATGGTGCCGCCGCCTCAGTGTTCCGTTGGATTGCGCATTAAAAAGTTAAAGTAAAACTGGCAAAAAACTGGTAAAACTGGCATCATAAAGGAATTATGCTTAGGGCACCAAAATGGCTAGCAGCAGTACTGCTTGCGTGTCATGTTTAAACTGCGGTACCGGTTGCCTCAGCAAACTTGGTTTTCCCCGCGTGTTTTAGACCACACCGAGAGCAGAAGATACAGTTGTTGGTGTTGGTGTTTTTGCAATATCTAAGCCAAGTAAACTCCCTCAACCATTCCTGTCAGAAATATTGTTGTCTTGCCTTTTTCGCCAGAATGGCTTCTTCTGACTTATCATCTGATTTTTCCTTCTCAGCAATTTGTTGCTGTAGAGGACCTGGCTTTGGTGAGAAAAATGTGTCAATGGCCCTGTCCCAAATTGCACCCTAAACACTCGCGGTCTTCCTACGAGTCCGCACTTTCATGACGTAATGGCACTTTGGTCGCCGGGAAGAAGTCTGCTGCAGAGTTTGCACCAGTGCGGGTTTGGCAATCGTGTGCATCGAGGGTGCATTTTGACCGCAAAGGGGGCGCACCATTTCGCACCGAGTTGTGAGCACCCTTCTGAAACCTAAAATTAGCCTACGTTCTCGTAGGACTAAAGAAAATCTAAACTCGTGCTCTCCTGACTTCCCATGTCCCATGGTATTACCAAATTGCATGTCTACAAGTCTGCAATAATGCTATGAGACTGACAACAGGCTTGGCCCTGGCGTTCTGGGACCTGTGAGATGGCATAGTCATGCACTTCAACTCAAAGTCGATGCCCGCACAGCAGGACTGCTCCAGGATCACAGCAAGGGCAAGCTCTTCCACTGAGAGGTCAGTTTAGCAGTGATTGATTGAAGTCAAGCTCCGTTGAACATTCCAAAAAGTCAAGGGAGGCAGCAGTGTAAAAGTCAATTCTCAGGCTCCCAGCCCACATGCAGGCCGCTCTTTCGAATCAGTCAGTGTGTGTTTTCCAGAGCATGTTCCCATTGACTGAACCCCTGTCAGTTACGTGGCCCACTTAGTGTGAAGTTCAGTAATGCGTGAAAAACATCCATGTCAAATGTGTGTGACCCTTTCAAACAATTCTGCACCGTCTCACTGAAAAGATTAACTTTTCCCCCCAAAAGTCTAGCACTTGTTTTAAGTAGGTAACATTCAGTTACCACTTTAACATATAAAACAAAACCACAAAGTGGGTGCTTGGACACATTTTTAGTATTTATAACAGACCTTCCTGACTATTTATAGAGTTAAGAGATTGTAGAGGGTAAGAGCAGCTCAACGAAAAGCAATTTATGCCTCACCTGTCCCTGACCTTAGCTGAGCACTAAATCTACCTCCATAATAAATAAACTACAAAGTGTGAAGAAATAAATGAAAGCAAAAACAAGCTTTTACCCATCCAGACCTTAATCCACCTACATAACTACATCCACAGTCAAAAACAGCCATTGTGTTTTATCTGTTTTGCACATTAACGCCTCTACAGAGATGCACTGCAAAAACAGCACCTCTTCAAGGCATTTTATACACTTTAATATAGGGACAGTAGAGAGAGAGAGAGAGAGAGATAAAAATAATAATAAATACATTTAATTTAATTTCTCATGCTGATGGTCAGTAAACCATGGAACAGCAGAGTGGAAAAGACAGTTAACTCACTTCTGCAGCCACTCGATGATCTTGTCTTTGCTCCGAAGTTGAGGAAGCGTGTACTTCTCCTCGCCCTTTTCAAAGTACTTCACTGTGGGGAAGCCTGAGATTTTAAACCGCTCTCCGATGGACTTGTGAATGGTGGCATCCACTGCTGCCAAAGCACCTGGGCTCTAAAACCATATAGATATATAAAGAGAGAAAAAAACTATTTACTAAGTTTCAGCTTAAAAACAACACTATGGGCCCTATTTTAACGATCTGAAACGCAAGTATCAAGCGCGAAGCGCAAGTGACTTTGTGGGCGGGTCTTGGGCGCTGTTGCTATTTTACCGGCGGGATAAATGACTCTCAGTAGCACCTCATTGCAGTACACGAGATCCAGGGGGCGGAGTTGGATCCAGATCTAAGGGGTGGAGATGGGTAGGATTAGGGGTGGGGTTAGAGATCAGGGGGCGGAGATGAGTAGGATTAGGGGTGGGGTTAGGGATCAGGGGGCGGAGATGGGTAGGATTAGGGGTGGGGTTAGGGATCAGGGGGCGGAGATGGGTAGGATTAGGGGTGGGGTTAGAGATCAGGGGGCAGAGATGAGTAGGATTAGGGGTGGGGTTAGACATCAGGGGGCGGAGATGAGTAGGATAAGGGGTGGGGTTAGGGATCAGGGGGCGGAGATGGGTAGGTTTAGGCATATGTAAGGTGGGAGGAGTTGGATCTGGATCAAACTCCTCCCCCTGGATTTCGTGTTCTGCAGTGAGGACCATCTCATGAGTCTTGCGCCCGACACAAGTTTAAAAGGGGTTGGTCTGAAATAGCTTTATTATTCATAGGTGTGGTTTGGGCGTAACGTGAAATAAACCAATCAGAGCGTCATCCAACATATCCTTTAAGAGCAGGTGCGCATATTGCATGGCGGATTGTTATTATTATGGCGGATTTACCAGGCGCGCACCAGGAGCGGTTCACAGCCGAGGAGACCGACGTTCTTGTCAGGGCCGTGAAAGACAGAGAAGTGACGTTGTATGGGGATGGGATATTTCTTTTTTCCTGGTTCTTGACGGACAAACTAATTTGTCAGATGTCCTTATATACATATGTGTCTTGCCACTATTGGGCAAACAGGTCTGATCCGTCATTACTACAATTAGCCTGAAAAATTTGGGTAAATGTGTGAGCTAGATTTAGGCCTACATTTTTTTACATCTTCATGGACACCACAATGATTTCCCTCATGTGTTAATATTTTTCCTTGTTATAATGTATGATTTGCAAAAATAAAAACTGCTGCATCTGTGTTGATGAGAGAATCAAAGTGTATGCGCGTTGTGCACCCGCTACATTATGGCCAAGCATGCGCGCTTAAAATAGCATTATGAACAACGCGCAACGCGCCACTGACTTTAGACTAGGTTTTTTCTGGTCAGTGGCGGAATTGTTTTCTGGAACTACAAAATAGTACTAGGGAATGTTTGCGCCGAAACACGCCTCCTTTTTGCGCCGACCCGCCCAGGGAGCGCAAGTTCATTTCCTAGTTTACCGACATGCGTCTGTGGAGGGAATAGCGCTTTGCGCGGGTGCAAAATAGGAATGATACATGCGTCAGTGCACAAAGTAATTTGCGCCGGGTGCAAGATAGGGCCCTATATGTTATCTGACAGCTGATTAATCAAAATACATAAATATCATAAAAAACATAGATACTACATGTTGGACATTGTTGGTCCATTTGTTAAATAAAAAAAAGCCTGTGCTAACTGATCTTTTTCAATGTGATCGACGTGCCACGCAATTTAGAGATGCTCATTTTTAATCCAAATCACTCTCTAAAAACTTTCCAGCAATTATGGAACTCATTAAGTTTCAAATGTCTACGCACAACTTAATTAAAATCATGAGGCTACATAATTTGAGAACAGAGCAAGTTGTCACTCTAATACTGATTGTGTTCTGTGGTTGAAGGGACCTCCTGTAGGTGGAGTAGATGAGATGCATAATTATTCAACAATTTCAAAAGCTCAGGAGAGGAGATTGAGAATACAGCCATCAAATTATCTCAAATTCAAGTTCAAACGTTACATTTTAAAACCAATTTCTGTATATCTAAAGATAGAATATATCTATCTTTATATCGAACTGGTTTTAAAATGTTAGGGAATGTTAAAGTTAACATGTTAATTCATGTGATTTAAAAACAACGACAACAAAAAACAATAATTTGCATTGGGTGCATTTCGAGAAATGATATCATATCTGTTATTTTTTTCTGCGAGTGGGATACAAAGAGCACCGCTGCATAAATATACCCTACAAATTGCAGAAAATCATATTTACACAAAGGCCTAATGTATAGACAGATTTATGCATTTACACCCCCAGTTTAAACACAATCAATTTGTGGAGACAACAAGCAGGTCGTTTTAATGAAATGACAGCACAACTTGGCACAGTTTTGTTCCCACCATTATATAGATGCAGAATGGATTGTCATTATGAATGTTTCCTCAGCTTAAACTTAATTAACTGCCTCTATTTGCAAACATCTGTCAGTGGGATACCTTAAATCTATAATGAGAGCCTGAGACATTATCACAAACAAAGGATTTGTGTTTGAGTTGAGGCACCAACCCTGCAGGGGCCAAATAATCTATGGACAGCTATTGGATCTGTGAGCCAATTAGAAGTGTATGCAAACCAAACTGCTTGACAAACAATACACAAACACATCTCATTAAAGTAACGGAACTGCATTTCAACAACACACTTGAGAGATAAGCGCAGCCGCTTCAATTTCTCCACCATCCACTTGCAAAATGTCATGTTCGCAACCCAGTCATATATGCACATTTAAACACCCTTATTCCAAACTCTCAGCGAGATGCAAATTCAAAACATTTTTGACAAGTGGACTCTCTCTTTAAACTGTGTGTATGGCCGAGAGCAAAAGGAATGAGAAAAATAAATGACTTCAGCTCTCTCAAGGGAGAAGATGTGAGGACTAGAGCATGCATTAGATAATGCATAACGTGTCGTTATTGAACTCTGGGAAGAGCATCACTCCGAGTAGCTCCAAGCTGAAGGCTAGAGGGACGGCACAGAGGAAAGGGGAAATGAGATAAATACTCCAACTATAAGGCTCTGGTGTCTGCAGTTGGCCTGCAACTGTGGGCTAGAGAGCAGAGCCAGCGCAGCGGACAGCCCTGGAAAATGAGAAACACACCACTCGCACAACATGACCAGAGATGTTTGTGAACTGTAATTGTCTCATGTTGTAACTTTAAAGCTTAAAAAAACATCATATCATGGAAGGACAGACATTTTGAATCGAAAGTTTGTTGAAGAGCAAAACATTATTTTGGGATTTGCCACAGGGTGTTATTAAATTGTCTAGGATGATGGGAAATTACAATTGGCTTTTTCCAATCAAGTCAATTGGACACAGACTTTTTACAAGGAATGCCTCAAAGCAAAAATAACACATCTAGAACCATTTCATTAAGTACACAGGTGCTATCCTGCCTCTATGTTCTCTCTTGCAAATATACAATCTCCATGTCAGATAATTAGTATGAAGAAACTCACATCTGGGTCTTTGTTGAGGATCTCAGCAGCTTCATCATACTCTGGCTTCATCTTCTTACAGTGGCCACACCCTAAAGACCATCGCAAGGAAGAAAATCTGAACGTGAATCATTTTAACATTAGCACGCAACCAAAAAAAGTTTGAGAAACAAAAATGTTTCTACAAAATTTATACAGTAGGGCCGTCGAAGTTAATGTGCACTTTAAGATATTATCAAATCTGATTAGCATTATGATTTTTTACATTCACCAGACTTTATAATATTACTACTTCACTCTGCTTTCTAGATTGATCACAAATTATGACATTAATTGTAATTTTTATTCTATTGACAGCATTGGTTTTTAACAGTAAAATAAACAAACAAGCATGTAGTTCTGTGAAAGATTTTGTTTAACAAAGTAGTTCAAAAGTTTGGGGTCAGTAAGATTTAAAAAAAAAGAAATGAATAATTCAGCAAGGATGCATTAAATTGATCAAAAGCGACAGTAAATATTTTGACATCAATACAAAAGATTCTGATTTCAAATCAATGCCGTTCTTTTGAATGTTCTCTTCATCAATGAATCCTGAAAAACATGCATCACAGTTTCCACAAAATAATTAAGCTGTGTTGTCAACAAGAAAATGTTACTTAAGCGTATCAAAACCATATCAGAATGATTTCTGAAGGATCATGTGATACTGAGTAATGGCTGCTGAAAATTCAGCTTTGCCATCATAGGATTAAATTGCATTTTAAAATATTTAAAATATTAGTATTACAATAGAAAAGTTATTTTAAATTGTAATAATATTTCACATTATTACTGTTATAACTGTATTTTACTCGTGAGCATAGGAACTGTTTAAAACAAAAAAAGTTAATATTACCAGTGTAAATAAATACACAATAAATCCAATCTAAAGTTACGAAAGGTAGTGTTTATACATCAAAACATTTAGAAAACCCTGCTATAAATGGTGGTTTGATGCCTGGCCTGCTTGGATTGTTTTAAAGAGGTTTGGATCAAACTGGAAGACCAGCTAAACACCAACAAACCATCTTAGGCCAGTTTAACAGGGCTGTCATACATAATTGACATAGCATGAAAACAGCAGAAACTCAATATCCATAAGAGACTACAACATGAAATGATCAGAATCAGCACTCATCTGGAAAAAAATTATATTTCCCTTCCAAGTATTTAAAGATATTCCTTTCCAATTCTCCATCTGTCACATAATCATAACAGCCTTTCCAGTAAACGTAAGCCAGAGCTCACCATGTCAAGCTTGGATTTATTATGCATTTATTTACACTATGGGAATATGAAAAAAATCTGGTCACTGATTTATAAATGTGTTTGCATTTTTGCTAAGAATGATGCAACAGTTATTTTTATTAATAGAAGTGATGCATGAAATTTGCACACTGAAGGGGGGTGTCAGTATGCATTGCGTCTCATAGTTAATCAGATGCAGAAAAAAGGGTAATTTTTTTCACCTAACTCAGCAGTGTCGATTATGTGTGTTGAGAGGACAAACCGATGTTGTCATTGGCATGATAATAACTATTTTGATAATAACTGCGTGCATGTGAACCGGGGTTTGTGTCTAAACAAGGATATTGCATTTGGTCTAGCTGATGAGAATGTAAACGAGTCATTCCGTACATTCTCCATGTGGAGAGAGAGTTTGTCTATATACTATAGGATCAGTAGCAGATTGGTAGGATACACCCTGTGCCGTACAGGTAATGAATATGTTCTATCAGAGGTGTTTGATCAAAAATGTATGAAACCTGAGAGCCATCTTCCTTTAATCACTATAAAAGCAACCTCCCAAGAAACTGAAATACTGCCGACATGCTCATATCAGCAAATCTGTGTTTGGCAGATTCATCTGAGAATAAAATTGATAGACAAAAACATCAGCAGCACACAAGTGCAATTCCACCACGATACATTTGTCTCTCTTTGAACTCCTAATTAGACTTAAAAAAATGACTGGTAATGATCCTCATACTGTAAAATATCCATGTACTGTACAATAATTTTACATGGCACTCCAATGTACTTCAAATAGTACTATAGTTCTATGTGTACAAAACATTATGGTGTTATTATAATAACATTTCCAAAAAAACATGGTAATTCAGTGATTTTGACAACTTCCTTGCCAACATTATTCTAACAAGTGAGGATAGTTCACCCAAAAATGAAAATTATGTCATCATTTACACACCCTCATGTAGTTACAACCCTGTAGGATTTTCTTGCTCTTGTGGAACTCAAAAAAGGTGGATGTCACTGGCTTTAATTAAACAAGTTGAAGGAATTATGGAATTCGTACTGGTTTGGAATGACATAAGTGACAATTTTAATTTTTAAGTGCACTATTCCTTTAACTACCCCTAAATTTGAATGTCATTCAAGTCCCAAGCCCAGCCCTTAACCGAACCCTAACATCATATTGGTTGATAGATACAGTATATTCTTCCAGGAACAATAAAGATGATACTTGTAAAAATCAGTCACCATGACCAGCAAGAGCCGTGTTGTTAATACTCACAGGGAGCGTAGAACATGACCAAGGCTGAAGGATGCTCCTGCAGGAACGTGTCAAAAGAATCATCGGTCAGATGGAAGACCGCTGAGCTGGACTCTGACCAGGGCACCTCTGGAGTTTTAGGCTGTGGAGGCTGAGGGCTACGCAACAAACACAAGTAGTTAAAATCATTTCCATTAGTCAATATGTTTTTGTTGTCTCAAAGCCTATGAACTTCATGACTCAGCTAATGACTAATGAGAGTCACCTAAGCTCTAAGTTGGACACTGCCAGTACACTACATCTGGTGGGGAACGGTCACACCCACATGACTGAAGAGAACTTGTCTGAGCCTGCAATTCACATCTGTCTCCTGATGGGCCCTGTGCCCATACAAGAACAGTCCAAATGATTCCCTCGTAGAGTGCAAAGAGTCAAAAGCTTGGCTCCTAGAAGTGCGTCAGCTGAACAAAGACTAGCCAGAGGCAGCTTTGCCAGAGACAAACACTAGCAAACTCAACCATTTAGTGGGTAAAATGCACTAAATGGTTGGGTTTGCTAATGTTTTCCCTTTTTTTCATTCAAAATCAAGTACACTATATGGTTGGGTTTGCTAGAGTTTTCACTTTACTTTAAGGGTGATCAATCTTGAAGACGTCCACGATCTACTTTTCAAGCGAATCGTGGAGATTGCGATCTTTTATGTCCTCATAATAACGTTAAAACGACAAGAATGACTGCCTAATAGATGGCTGTGCTGATTGGCCAAATTATATCATGTGTGTCTATCATGTGTCTTTCATGCCTGGTGACCATTTTGACAGCTGATTCTATAATTCAATGTTGTGTTTTAAATTGCACAAAGAGAGAAATCCATAGGCTTGTTCCAGTCTGGATATTCTCTATAGTACATCTCAACATTGGGAAGATTGTGATTCAGATCGTGGATTGTGATTATGTGTTATAGGATCCTAACTTTATTTTTTGGGAAGATTGCCCACCACCCCTACTTTACTTCATTCAAATTTAATTCTACAAGACAAGCCAGGGACATCTGCAAGTGTTTTGAGAGCAGGAAGTCACAATTGGAATCTCTTAACATGCACTTGTATTAGTCAATCAACTGCAGCTGTCATATAGTTTATGGGATTGCAATAATGATTTTCTGTTTCTCACAAACTATAGACCACCCACAGTCCCTACACTGGCTGTCTCATACAGCACACGAAAATGGTAAGAGCCGACTGAAAACGCTAGTTCCAAACGAACTGGTTACCCACTTTTATTGTGTTCATATACTTTTAAGTGTTTATAATGTACCGGTTTTCTACGGTGATCATTTTTGAGGAACAACCAATCACTGGATTTTTTTGCCTGGTTAGTGGCATCAAATATTTGAAATGCTACTGTTCAGTTTAGGGTTGGCAAGAATTTGTTTTCAAAAGAAGTCTCTTATGCTCACCAGGCTGCATTTATTTGATCACAAATACATTCAAATATTGTGAAATATTATTACAAATTAAAATAACCGTTTTCTATTTTAATATATTAGAAAATGTAATTTATTCCTGTGATGGCAAAGTTGAATTTCCAGCAGTCATCACTCCAGTTTCAGTGTCACATGATCCTTCAGAAATCGTTCTAATATGCTGATTTGGTGTTCATTTCATTATTATCAATGTTGTAAATGGTTTTGCGCAAACCGTTTTTCCTTTTTCAGGATTCTAAGATGAATGGAAAGAAGGACAGCATTTTTGGTAGCATTATTTTGTAGGATTGTATGGTCACTTTTGAGAAATTTAATGCATCCTTGCGGAGTAAAAACATAACTTAATTTTTTTTTTAAAATACTGAGCCAAAACTTTTGAACTACTGTGTATTTTTTTCAATTCGCAAACCAGAATTTTTTCCACGCTGGAAATTAAATTTTCTGCCATTAAATTACACAAAAATACAAAACAAGCTGTGGTTGGTCTTGTGACATATTGGTCAAACAGTCCAATTGGGAAGTTATTGACCAGAATAAGTGCATTGACCAGACTAGACAGCAATAAAAATGCTAATGGTTATACTAGGCTACAAACAAACTATTAATGTGTCTTGTTATAGCACTCAATTCAAAACTTTAACAATATAAATATTGCTCAGTACACTACATGGATGTTCTGGCCTATTTTACGTGGTCTGGTTCTTGACCTGTAATATACAGCATCAGAAAAAAAAAATGTTTTATGTTGTTAGGCAAAATATTGGAACACTGCATGACTGGAAGATTCATGCAATTCATAAATTACATGTTGCATTGCATGCGCAGCTCTAGTGCAGTTAATCTCCGAGACGTGTACATAGGCTGTCACTCTGTCAGTTTGATAGTTGGTTAAGAAACTGCAGAGAGCTTAAAGCCTCATCACATCTCTGTTAGGAGGCACAGAGGACCGTTTACGTCCAGTGTTTTACAGTGCGCATCATTTATTTCACACCCTGGATAACGGTGGAGAGGAGACCGTGGGCAGAAGTCCGAGATGTCACACCTCTTCAAAACATGGTGATTCTTTACAGCTTTTAAGATAGTAAAGGGTGTTAGAATGAATGAAGAGAGGCTGTGTGTGTTTGTTGAAAGCTGAAAAACAGTGCAGATTATTTATTGACTCACTTTTTCAACCAATCAGCGATGTCTTTGGAGGTGGCTCCATAATTCTCATAGTGATGCAAGAATTTCCCCTTCCTTTTTGGAAAAAAGAACAAAAAAGGACAGAATAAATCTTTATGATTAATCATAAACTGGCTGTGGAAATCCAAACAAAAACAAATCATTTTGCAAAAACAAAGCAAACAAAACAACATTTTCACCAATAGAGGGGATGCACATGACATCACCGTCACCAGGAGTGACTGCAGTTACGCCAACTGATGGGCAAAAAGATTGACTGGCAGCATTGGTTTTGGCGTGAATGCCGCGAAAAACACACACAAAACACATCTAGAACGGGAAAGAGCTTTGCGATTGACTGTTCAAATAGATTTGACAAGAAATCTGAGGAATATTTTTACAGACTGTCGAAAGCTACAGAAAAGAGAAGCAATGGATCGCTGCAATTCAAAGAAATTCCCCTGGCGTCAAAATCAGGCACATATAAATGTCAGGAAACACGATTCCTGGCTGCATGTCAAAATCCATGGATCACTGGATCTTTGGTAAGTTGTAAGGAACACTATAGAGTCCAACCTTTAGTTTAAACTGATCATTTGTTTTACCCGCATTTTCGCAGTTTCCCCTATTAAAGCCAGCGATGTTGTATGCTTTTTGAGAGGCTGCTAACAGCAGAGAAAATTGGTGGAGCTTACATTTAGCTCCTCCTCAGGTGTAAATATAATTTGTGCCTAATGGATGGAGCTACAATATCCAACCACACCCTAACCCTACCCACAACTCTATCCCTCAACCCCATTAGACGTCCAGAGAGATGAGCTGGACGTCATTTAACTCTGCAGCGAATACCACTTGGGCTTTTTTGCCACTCAGTGCGGCTGAGGGGGCGTGTTCCGGCGGGAAAGTGACATCAATGCACACCCTTCTTATAAGGAGGACACCATTTTGATTTGGGGGGTAGTTTGTAAGATCAATAACTCCAGATCAATCCAGGCCGATCGTGTCCTATCACGATCCCATTATTTCCTGTCCTCTCTCTGCTGTCTGTATAAAAACATGGCCAAAAGTTTGTAAAGCAGAAAGTTTGTTTAAAGCTGTTAGCATTGATTTACAAAAAAGAAACCAGTTCAAATCTTGCCTTCTTTTAAAAAAAAGGACATACTAAACGGGAGAAGTCAATATTTATTAGCACTTATTTTCTTAACATAAATTGCACTAGACAGCTTAGGATATTTGTACAAAAAAGACGCAAGGCATCCAAGACCGCTGCTCGCTTTTTGCCATCCAAAATAAACATTTTAAACGAGCGTTTGACTCAAAGCTAATTAAGCCATTTGGCCCAGGGCTCTTAGCATAATCAAAGAGCTCAGCAAGCAGCCTTTGTGCTCTTACTAATCCATACAACCACAAGCAGATCATGAATGTATACAGAAATGCTCTTGAACACACAGCTGAATGTGGAAGAATGCTTCAAACATCAGAAACTCATGTTTTATCTGCCATCGTCTGCTCCTGTTCCGTGACTCAGAATAATCTGCAGCAAGTGAGAGCTTAGCGCAGTCGACTGGCATTTGTAACTGTCACTAATCAGTTAGGATCCACAAGTGCTGTGACAACCCAAACAAAGAAATATAATAATAAAGTGGAAAACCCATGTCCATCAAACGGAATTATCACTTTAGTGTCAGGCTAAATCTGGAGTCTGAAAAACATTTTTGCCTTCCATTTTCAAATTCCGAGGGAACTCAAAACCTTACTTAATGTAGATCTGTTTGCAACCAGCATGTGACATACACAGCAGAAATAAAATAAAATAAATAAATCTTAAAAAATAACTTGAAAAAAAATAAGATAAAATAAATAATTATGCTCACTTTGATCAGTGATCACAGACATATAATGCATTACTGAAATATCAATTGATTCGAAAGAGCAGTGCTGAGGTGGGGAGGTGTGGTGCAAAGATCTGGCATTTGCGCGAAGGACCGTGTTTAATTACCTTCTAGTAATTAAAACAGCTGTATAATGAAGGAGCACTAAACAGAAGCTAAATGCACACAGCTGCAGCCGCGAGTATAAATATACATGCAAAAGATTCTGGACAAATTGCCTCATGCAGAGAATACACATTAACATTCTCTGATTCATTTAAAATCATAAATCATCCCTTTTGCTGGGGGCTGGGGCTATTAGTTCTAGCATGCTACATATAAAAAGCTGCCCCAAAAATGTCTTAGAAATGAATTCATTTTAACCGTTGGAATTTAATATGCAAAGATTATTTTGTGGAAAAAACAAGTACTTTTTCCAAATAATGCAAATCGCTTCTCTACCCTGCAATGCTGCATTGTGTATTGGTTAAGAACATTTTGTGCTACTATAAGTTTAAAATACTTCAAAAAATATTTATATTTATATTATATTTATATTATTTTGGACTTTCTTCTTTCTTTCTCCATTATTTAACAGTATTTTTGTCAGTAACATAAAATTAAAACAATAAAAACCACTGATTTACCACATTTAAAAGTAACACTCCAAGTAGACAGTTTTGATGCTGTCATTTCATGTACTTGGGCCTTTGGAAAATGAAGGACTGGTGAATGGTTCAACGCAAAAGCACTGACGTCTCCAAAAATCCTTTCAAAACATTTGTTGTGTATGAGACGGAGCCAGTGGCCCTTAATTGGACTGTAGAAAAAGTACCATTCTGATCCATCTTTCCCAGGCTCCTTCAGACCAAATGCATCACAAATGTACAACCCTATAACACTAGTGTTAAAATTAAACAGAAACAGAGTTTAAGAAAAAAGTATTATTGTCATGATCCTGGCTCTCTTTCTCCTTACTCTGTCTCCTTACAATTATGGGTAAGGAAAGTAAGGTAAGAAAGTACTGGGTAATATAAGGTAACTACATTGGTTAAGGTTAGTTTTAAGGGTAGGATCAGGGTTAGTACCTAGTTATTACTGAGTTATTGTAATTATTATAATAAGTACATACCGGTAGTATGTACATGGGGAAAAGGACTGTAAAATAAAGTGCCACCAAAATAATAATAAAAATCCATTTAAGCCATTGCATAGCAAATGTACAAATAGAGATATATACTGTAACATCAAAAGGCTGAAAAATATAAAACGATCCTTTATAGCTATATCACTCAGCTCTAATGTTTGGCAAATTAGTCCATTTGATTTAGTTAAATCGGTGACATTGTTTGTGTTTAGAAGTGTTTGCGCAGAATCAAACTTACTCAAAGTAGCAGAAGGTTGGGTAGCCCTTGACGCTGAACTCCTGTTTGAGCCCGTCAAACTCCGCCGGGTGCACGTTCATCCCAGCCAACACCTGCACCAAAGCAATGAATTAGACTCCAAACAAACAATCCCTGTCTAGCACCTCAAACACAGGAAAATGAAGATGAATGGCCACATCAGTGCACGCAGAAAGCTTGTCGATAGAGATGGCATGCAGTGAAGTGGCACGTGGTAAATATCCCACTATTTCATGACATTGCAGGCTTGACCTGACATGCTAATCGCATCCCAAAAACAATTTCAACTCACTTTGGTTTTGGAGGAAATTTACTTTAAGTCACTACAGACTCAATTTACTTTGTGTTTGAATGCATCAAAACAGAAAAAGACCTAATTCATTTCTATGGCGTGTCTCATTGCTAAGTTGAAAAAATATAGCTTGTGCCCTAATTTCAAACAAACTGCACTGTTATGACAGGCCATGCTTGATAATGAATTCTAAAATAAATGCATATTATCCCAGAGTGTCACAAATCGTCTCCGGTGCCTCGTTTGCATCTGTCAGGCCAATGAAAAATATGCAGAATAACTCTGCTGACCAGCTATTACTTCCCAAATCCATCAATGTTTCTGCAGTGCTATCAGCTTCTCGACATACACGTGGAAACTCAGAAACACAGGAGGCAGCAAATCTACACATCTCGTCCATAACAGGAAGCTACCCATTCATTATCTAAATCTCTAAACGAGCAACTTATTTTCTAGTGCAAACTCATCTGTCCGGGTTAGAGAAATGAATACTGCTTAAATCCCTCCATATGTGTGAAAAAATAAATATATATATATATAATAATAATTATATATATATATAAAATAGTAACACCTTACAATAGATACATAAGGTTCAATTTGTTAATGTTAATTAATGCATTAGGTATCATAAACTAAGAATTAACTTTTTTATAAAATGTATTAATGCAGGTTAATGATCATCTACGGTTCCTTTAACGTTCATAATACTTATACTAATAATAGTACACGGAAGTTGAAATGTTAATAATGTTAGCATACATTACTGTTAAAAATTGAGGTCAGTAAGATTTTTCTGAAAGAAATTAATAATTCTACTGATGCAACAATGTTATAAACTGATCAAAAGTGACAATTAAGACATTTATAATGTTACAAAAGTTTTCTATTCCACATAAATGCTGTTCTTTTGAACTTTCTATTTATAAAAAAACCCTGAATAACAAAAACAAAAATGGTCATGGGTTACACAAAAATACAATTATTTTAAATTGTAATAATATTTCACAATATTACTGTTTTTTTGTTTGTTTTTTTACTTGATTTGTAATCAAATGAATGCAACTTTGGTAAGACGTCTTTCAAAAAAAGAAAAGAAAAAAAATCTTACCAAGGACAAACCTTTGAATGGTAATATAGATTAGAAGTGAAGAAATTACCATTAAACTAGATTAATAATTGCTGTACAAGCATTGTTCATTATTAGTTAATGACCTAATGCATTAAGTAATGTTAACAAACTAAACCTTATTGTTAACATAATAGTAATAAATAAAATCTCCTTGTTGTGTGGTTTTTCTTCATGCGATACATTTTTCAGTTTACCATTGGATAAAAGGAACGTAGGAACCTTTTTAGAAAGGAACATAAGAACCTTCAGCTGCACGATACTAACAAATGTTCTCTTGACTCACGCAAGCTTCCACATTGACAACATTCCAGCTTTGACATTCACAGTGGGGTCTCCTTTCAAAACGTTTCACTTTGGACAATTTGAGTTTGAATGAATGTTCAACCATCTATGTTTGTGCTTCTGTGTACATTCTGTGATGTGAGATGGGGAGAAAGATAGAGGGAGATAAAAAAAGAGAAGGACTGAGAGAGAGAAATGTGTGGTGAAGTGTACTTTGAGTCTCCCGGCAGTGCACATAGAGATATTGAGCTGAGTTGGCATATAATCCATACTTCACCATAGACTTCAACAGCAGGAAGTACATCCTATAACTGTACTATGAAATCAGCAGAAGGGCTTTTAAGCAAAATTGCCTCTTGCTCTAATGAGGGGGAACTAAACGTTCTGTCAAAAAGGGACATCATTGGTTTCACAAAACATCCACCTGTTAAGTGATTCAACAACTGTACCAGATACGGTAAAAATTTTGGTTGAGATACAGTCTAGCAAAAAAAAAAAAAAGGGGGGGGGGGGGAAACAAAAATAAAGCAGAGGAATCGATAGGCCATGATTCTACCATGCTACTGTACTTACATATTTTCCTTTTGTCTCAGTGGCTGTTTGCTGGAAAATGGGCTGCATCCTTTTACATACACCACACCCTGCATGTAGAAGAGATGTTAGAGGTTAAGGTGCGGTCACATTAGTGAAATTTACTTACTGGAATTTCATGGGCAAAAAAAAAGGTCTATTGTCAATAGTGTAGCATTGTATAAATCACAGCAAACACAGAAGTCTCTTTGGTCACACTTTAGATTAGGGTCCAATTCTCACTATTACCTAAATATTAACTATGACTTTTGCCTCAATAAACTTCTAATTATTGCTTATTAAGGGATTAAGGGATTACAATCTATAATTGTAGATTATGGATGCAGAATGAGGCATTAATATGTGCTTTAAACAGCCAATATCCTATTAATATGCATGCTAATAAGCAACTAGTTAATGGTGAGAATTGGACCCTAAATTAAAGTGTTACCATCACTTTTAAACCAAGCAGCTTTCCATCTGGTCAAAGTGCCAAATGCGTGTGACCAACTTAAAGCTGCAGTCCGGCATTTTTCCTCTTTGTCGCCATCTCTGTTTGAAATCTGTAATTGCAGTTATTCGCGGAATTATTAACTTTGCGTGAGTTGCACATCGGCATGAAACAGCGCAGATGAACACAATGTTTTGAGACTGCGAGTCTGTCAGTCACCGCGCCGATGTGGAAACTGGCATTCAGAATCACACATTCTACTTTTGGAAAGTAGGCCAGTATGACCATGACAACATACGAATTTTCATCGGAAAATGTCATCTGAACAAGTAAGTAACATCCACATCAACTAAGGGGGGAAAGCCTTGCAGTAAATCGTGCTGATTAAATATAACGATCGCGTCAAACCTTTCAAATTATACTTTGTTCTCAAATTATCAACATCAGCATTGTGACTACATTTAATGTGTATTATGATTACCCTGTAGTTCAGTTTCTATTTCTGTGCAGTCTAATTTCTAATTGTCATACCAATAAATTAATGTTTCTTTACTGGTTTTCTTTGAGAAAAAAGAAAAGAAAAAAAAAAACACGTATCTGTAATCCGATGCATATTTAAAACTAGGGCTGGGCGATAAAACGATAACGATATGTATCGCGATAGACACGTGATCGATATCAATAAAAAATGTGTTCGATAAAACGTTCGATATTTTTTTCTTCGTCGGAAGAAACCAAAGATTGCGAAGCAAGTTTGGTTGCATTAACAAAGGCACTCGCGTGTGACACGCTAACAGGCAATCATGTAACGTGTCAGTTTGGTTGCGCCATATCGTTGTCTCGTGCTGCTGGGTTCCTCTTCAGTAACCGGCGATTGATAAGCAGAAAATGAGTGCCCTTCATCTGCATGCCATGCAGGCTAGAATTGCGAAACATTATTGGATAATTCGCTCTATTCGCGTTTGATGTGAACACAGCATAATGAACAGGCTGCGATGTCAAGATTGCAATGCTGGAGTGTGTGTGTGTGTGTGTGCGCGCGCGAGAGAGAGAGAGAGGCACGAGAGAGACAGACACGCGGGCGCGATCGAACAGTGGAGACATAAAAACATACTCCGTCATTTTGTTAATACAGGACATCATTCAGTCTGCAAAGTGTTTACTTATATTTGTGTAGGCCTATACTCGCAATAAAACACAACATTGTGCTTTTGTCACACTGTATTTCTTGTCAAACTGTAACCTACAACTGTCACACACCGTTTTAAAAGCAAAACATATTTATCCAACCCCTTTTTAAAACAGCCTGTGTGTTCCATCTTTTGGACATTCATCATATCGCATTGGTTTTAATTTCTTGTCCTCATAGCACTAATCTGTTTATTTTTAAGTTACACATTGATTAAAAAAGAAAATGAAATGTGTTGGTAGTATTATTTTATACGGAAATCAATTATTTATAATTCTGATGAGAATAAAGTTAGGGTTAATTAAAATTAAGGAAAACAAATATATTGATCTGAAATATAGCAAATTAATTTTAAATTCATTCAGGTACAATTACCAAACATATCTCATATCTATCTTTTTATTAGTTTAATTAATAAACCAATTATATAAAACTATTATCAGTGCACTATAAATAAACTGGTTCTATGCCTTTATTAATAAAACTTATTTAAAAAATACAAGGCTTAAGACATTTATAAAAATGCCTTCTATATTTCGGTTTTGCTTTTCACTCCATTGTACCGAAATCGTACCGAACCGTGATGTCTGAACCGAACCGTGACTTCTGTGTACCGTTCCACCCCTAGTATTGTCGTCATAATATGAATTACGTTAAGCTATGGTAAAAGTGGTACCGCCAGACCACGAGATCGGCTGAATGGTTTCCTAAACGGTAAACAAACATTTGTTTTACTCGAGGGGAGGTGGAAAATGAGCTTAATTCCCCAAATGGTGGAATATCCCTGTAACGTTAGGCTTATCGTTAGCCGAGTGCTCTGCCCTGACTTCTTATGATACAGTGCATGTGTAAGATACAAACTTCCTGGTTGGCAAAAAAAGACTTTTGATAAGTATGCTGATTTTTAAGTCACGCTCAGAAATGTGTCATTTGCATATTAAAAATCACAAAACAAATCAAGCAGGGGGCACGTACGATCACAAACCCCCACCACCCACGTCCCACCGCGCCACTGTCACCTTTTTTACTCTGAGGAGTTTGCAGGTCTGATTGTGAATTTAGACTTATGTTTACATTTTTAATTATTTGAGTTTTCCATGGTTGTGTTGACATTTCTGTCTTGGGATTGTAATCAGAGGAAGGTTAAGTTAAAAAAAAAAAAAGTTTAATTGTCAAATATTTTTTCTCCTGGTCCTTATTTTAAATGGGTCATAAAAAAATCAATAATTATCGATATCGACCGATATGAAACACTGATATCGTGATACAGTTTTCAGCCATATCGCCCAGTCCTATTTAAAACTATATATAATTTCTTCGGAGGCCGGTTTGGTTTGCTTGGAGTAGAGGTGAATTGCTCCCTCTCATAGCTAGCACAAAATATTTACCATAATAGCTAAACGAATAAAGACAGGAAACTCCGTAACTGTGTGAATTAAGCGAACAAGTGTGCTACTGTTACACGATTGAACTATTGAAATGTCTTACCTGTCCTAAAAGAAAAAAAGCCGTCTCTGCGTCCGTTTTGAACCGATGTTTATCCTTGTTTTCGCGTGGGCCAGTTGCAGTCTCTTTTTTCTCTAACGTTACCCACTCCGAAGTCCGAATTATTTGGGGTTTTACAAGTGGTGAATGTCCAGTTGTCACTGGTGATTGTCGTTTGAACCTTTCTGGATCCGCCATAAGTTTAATTATTTAATGCTGTGAGAAAAGGCTAAAAATGTCCACCTCCAACATCCTCACGCAATATAGCCGACTAGCCGGGACGCCTTCTTTATGTGTACAGATGTGACGTAATGACGCAAAGACATGCTCGAATTTCCCGCGGAAATCCACCAGTACCACTGGAATTAAAATCATTATTACAAGCTAACCGTTTCGAATCGGGCAAAAGCAAGCAGATAGTTTTGAACACTGGCTGGTTATGTTTTTTTTAATTATTATTATTTTGGATAATTTTTAACCCAAAAAAGTTACGGACAGCAGCTTTAAACCGTTGCCAAAATCTGAGTGGGGTCGGTAAGATACTTTAATGGTTTTGAAAGAAAACTCTTATGATCATCAATACAGCAAAACAGCAAGTTCAATTTATTCCCTAAATGTATTTATGAGTAATAGCGATGATCTAATTCACCTTTTAAGTTAAATTTAACCTTAAAGCTACACTATGTAAGATTTTTGTAATAAAATATCCAAAATTCACTTGCACAGTGTGATATATTTCCTGCAGTTGTGTACTTACAATATCCCAAAAGTTCCCAAAGATTTTTAATTTCAGAGAAATTCCAATTTTAAATAATGGCTCGTCCATGTTCACTTGTCGCCTGTCAATGACGTAATATCCGCGTTATCCCTGGTCTCCGCTTGTACTGCCATAGTAACCATGGCGACAGACGTGGACAACTGCGTTATGTCTAGCGGCACGCTCACGCTGTTGTTGTTTCGTTCAAACATTATGGACCACGGGAAGCAGACTTAGGGACAAAAGGGGAAATAAACAGGGATCAATATTGGCGTGGCGTTTCAGAGATGCCGAGAGCTCCACGTCCGCGACTAACTTCGACTTGATACCGCTCTTACATGTACTTTATTAGACAGGTGAGAAAATGTACATAAAATGAATCAATGTTATATAGCTCAACATGATGAAATGTTAGAATATGATCAGTATGTTATTCTAATGTTGAACTAGCTTTCTGCTAGTCTCATACAGCCAAACTAACACACAGAATAACATTATAACTTTCAACACACTCAAATGCAGTTTAGTGTGATAGAGTAGACCAAGTGAAACAGCGCTGCGTTACCTCACAAGTTTAATTCGTCAAAGAAACCGACGTTTGTGAGTATTAATTCAAGACTTGCGGATAGTTCGGTAGAATGAAATGTCCTTATTCCTTTATATCCGCGGGACTCGCGTGTGGCGCCTATATACGTCTCTCATTAGCAATCGCGCCCTGCTTCATACCACAGTCATGTTAAAAACATCAATGTATTCACTCATCCATAAACATTATTAGATCCATCAGCATGACGACAAGTTCCATAATTCCGCTTATGCGTCATCAACCTACACCTTAGAGGTTAGAGGTTAGCGACCCCTAGCAGCGAAAAAAATGACATTGTAGCTTTAAGAAGCACTTTTCAATGGATACTGTCTGGAGTCTTGGAGGGAAAAAATTAAATGTCAATCTAAATATGATTTCAGCTGATTACTCATCTACAAGACTTAACTATTGCAGTAATGAGCTTTTGGGTTCCTCTGACCACTACACAAGGAACCAAGATGAGTCTAGAACCAAGATGAACCAAGTTAAACTCTTGCTAATGGTACATTGACAAATGCTGGACATCTTAATGAGATCACGACCATATTCACAACCTGCATTGATTCAGGCACACTCAATCACACTTTACAAGATCTGTTTTGATAGAATTTGGCACATCTTGCATGATTGCACACAGTTAGCATCATATGAAGTGTCTAGTGGTGGAAGATTACAAACAGGGGTGACTCACATGGGGCGTAAAACATCATGAGGGTGGGCCGCTCCTCTTTTTTCAGCAGTTTCCGGAAATCCTGCGGGCCAAACAGGACAAAGTGAGTGAGTCAAACACTGGGTTGAGTGTCTATAACTTTTAGTAAAGTTTCAAATGATCTTAATAAACCAACAAAGAAGGGCTGAGATTCCCTGGCCTTTCATTAGCATGTTCATTACTCCACTTCATTGCTTCATTACTCCATCACACACCAGCACAGTGTGGCTGTTTTTGACTGAATATGCCACCGTCATCTGCAGTGTCTGATTTTTGTTTTTAAAAAGATACTATTGCAGAACATTCAACTAGATTTATTTTAAATCTATTAAAAGGTGGACAGTGCAATTTCTTTCAATATAAAGTATGTAAAATATTTAATTAACATTGAGGGCCCTATTTTAACGATCTAAGTGCATGGTCTAAAGCGCACGGCGCAAGTGCGTTTAGGGCGTGTCCTAATCCACTTTTGCTAGTTTAACGACGGGAAAAATGTTTGGCGCTTCTGGTGCATGATCTAAAAGGGTTGTCCCTATTCTCTTAATGAGTAATGGGTGTGTTTTGGGCATAACGTGCAATAAATCAATCAGAGTCTTATCTCCCAATCCCTTCAAAAGCCAGTTGCGCTCACGCCATGGTGAATTGCTATTTACATGGCGGAATTTGCCAGCGGAAAGACTGAACGCGTCTCCAGAGCGCAAACGGATCTGCTCGTGCGCGAGGTTAAAGCGAGCAAGCAGACCATCTACGCAGACCATGTGTAATAAGCAGAGTGTAAGTGCATTGTGCGACTGCCTATAGGCGCATATTACTAACGTGCCCTTTAAATAACAAAAAAAATATTGCGCCATTGACTTTAGACCAGGTTTTTGTTGGTCAATGGCGCAGACTATTTCAGTTGCCTCAAAATAGCAACGCGCCAGCAATGCGCCTGAACACACCTCGTTTTCAGACCAGCACGCCCATGTGCGCACAAACAGGCGCAAATCCATTTACTATTTAAACGTTGGCGCAGGACGTGAAAAAGATAACTGCGTAGGGCAGTTATTTTCCTGACAAAAATGATGTTTATCACTACTGTAATGTCTGGAAAATATTATCACAATTATAATTTCAACCTTGTGTCTTGAATTTTTAGATGCAACTTTTTTAAGGCATTTAAAACCACACTTGTTCCTGGATACACAGTCCAGCTGCCAGATTTAGCCTCTAGAGACAGAAGAATAGGAAGGTTCTTCTGTTGCAGATTGCTCAGCTACAAGTCTTTTGTTCTGTGTGACATTCCCACACCTGATAAATACTCAGCAGAAAACCGATCTTCGCTGCAGTGTGCTTCAGAGAGCAATACTTACCTTCTCTGACTCTATGTGAACAACATCTTTAGCCTCAGGGTTCTCCTCCCACAGGGGGGCACCTGCAGGGTCTTTCAGGAAAGCCACCATGGACTAAAAGAGAAGAGAGAATAGATAGAAACTTTGAAAAGAGACCATTAGAGAATCATCTTTCACTGTCAAAAGAAACTGCAAGTGCATTTATTTCTTTTTATAAGTGAATCACTGTGAGATTAGAGGTACGGATCTACAATAATAGGATGTACACTACTGTTCAAAAATGTTTAATGTTTTGAAAGAAGTCTCCTATGCTCATCAAGGCTGCATTTATTTGATCAAAATACTGTAAAACAATGTTGTGAAATATTATTACAATTTAAAATCATTTTCCATTTTTATATATTTTTTTAATTGCAAAAACAGGATTTTCAGCATCATTACTCCAGTCTTCAGTATCACATGATCCTTCCGAAATCATTCTAATATGACGATTTCCTGCTCAAGAGGAAACATTTCTTATTATCACTGTTAAAATCAATTTGCTGCTTAATATTTTTGTGTAAACTGTGAAACATTTTTTTGAGGATTCTTTCATTAACAGAAAGTTCAAAAGGACAGCATTATTTGAAATATGTTTATTTGTAACAATGTAAAAGTATTTATTTTTTTAACTTTTAATCAATTTAATGCACCCTGCAGTAAATAAAAGTATTACATTTTCATGCTAATAAAATGATGTATAAGAAAAAAATGCAACCACAAATATTTCTGCAGGATAGTACCGAGTCAGTTCTTAATATTTACAAGAGTATTTATCTTTCTTTTTTTTAGTACTTTTTTAAAAGGAGTGTGTTCATTGGCATATTAGTATTTGCTGTGGCATAAATTGGTTATTGGACGTTTACATTTTTACTACTGAAATTTTGACTTTTGATCATTTTGCTAATTTAGGTAATATTCCAAACTTGTTCTAAGCATGATCTAACTAACACAAAAAGTATGGAGACTTATCACCAATGATAAAAAAGGTTTCACTCTTGCACAATTACACTAATTTAGTTCCTAATCTATGAATCCTAGACATTAGGAACTAATCACTCCCTTGACATAAAGTGCTCAAAGTACAGTGTTATTGCTATACCAAGGGAAGATGAAGAGCAATATGTGGTACTTAACAGCAGGTGAAATAATGAATTTATTTCAACAGCTCCATTTTTTCCACACCAGTGGCGCCAGCGAACATGTCCCATCACTGTTTCATCATCCAGCATAGCTCATCTCATTCATTTTTAACATATTCACATTACAGCTCTCCTCATTCCAGAGCCATTCATCAATGCCTCGTCACATTCGCTCATAATTGAGCTGAAAGGCGTGTGGAGAATGAGATAGGTGAGATTCGTCTACTTATGAATCTTGGACTTCTGGTTCTGGTGCTTGAGGCTGAGTACTATGAAATAACAGCCATGGGAAAACGGTGGGCGTCAAGCGGGTAAATAACAACAAAGAGCAAATCATCCAGTAACAGATGACAGAGTATGCATCCGAAAAGGCACAGACGGTATTTTCTGGAAAAGCGGATTGTCAATCCATATGTCTAACAAAGAAATATTGATAAACTGGATTCTGAAAGAGGCTTCAAAAAAGACTTTTGTTAAAGATGCCTTCAACAAAATTCAATTTTCAGAAAAAATACCTTAAATGTGGATGGTCTGTTGTATTCCGTGTGGAAGGTCCCATCCCTAAAAGGAACACAAAACTACAAGATGAATTGCTGAGTTCATGGTTCTCAGTAATAATTCATAAGACCTTCATCTACCATTGTTGCATGGATCTCAAAAAATGAAGACTATTCTTACTTGTAATGCAGGACCTCGACTCCTTTGGTTTTTGAGCTGGGATCTACCTTGACTTTTTTGCAGAGTTTGCGGCCTTCTGAATCCCTGAGGTGGGAAACGTACAGAAAAACATAAATATTCAAATCACATAAAAGAATCACATATAGTACATATAAAACAGTTGTTTTGATAGATATCAGCTTGGACAAAGTTCCAATTTTAATAATTGCGCCTTTTTTAATTCATGTGTTGGAATTCCATTACAGTCGTATCCGACTCTTGGCGTTTCTGTGGGCCATTTCCGCCATGCTTTCCGGACTTCTGCTTTCTTTTTCAGCTGTTCTATGCCTAGGCCGGTGATACTTTTGATGGTGTCGAGCCAACGCATTTTTTTGGCGGCCTCTTTTTCTTGTTACACTAACTGTGCCAAGCATTATAGTATTTTCTAGTGAAGTTGTTCGCATCACACGGCCAAGATGTGCCGCAGTTTGGTCATTTTTGACTCAAGTGACATCTCTGGTTTAATGCGGTCCAGGACCTCTGTTGGTATCCCTTGCTGCATGGTATCCTTAAGAGCCTTCTCCAACACCACAACTCAAAGGCCTCAGTCCTCCTTCGATCATTGTTTTTTTTCATAGTCCAGCTTTCACATCCATATGTTGATATAGGAAACACAATTGCCTGGGCTGCCTGCATTTGGTTGTGAGGTTGATGTCTTTGCTCCTCCAGATTTGGTGCATGCTTAGCATTGCATTACATCCTAATAAAAAAAATTATTTCAGGTGTGCAGTCTCCAGTTTGGTCGATCATAGATCCTAAGAAGCAGAAGTACTTAACGTATTCAATTTCTTCTCCGTTGATGGTTACTTCAATTGCACCGGTTCCAGCTGTTGACATAATTTCTGTATTTTTGATGTTCAGGTGGAGTCCCATTTTTTTTAACTTTTTACTATAAGGTTTTTCAAGACCATCTTTGGTTTCTGCTAATAAGGTTGTCTCATCAGCGTAACGGAAATTATTGATATTTCTGTCGCCAATCTTCACATCTATTTTTGAATCTTTCCAGACATCATTTCTTAGTTACAATTTTGCACTTTGTTTGCTACCTGAATTCAAATGTAGTAATTGAATTGGATATTAAAGATACTATCAATTCAAGCATGAATGGCACACAGCCCTAGTAGAAATGCAAGGAAAACAAAGTTTGAAGCAACCATGTTCAGTACAGTGTCTGCAAGCACAATCAATTAACTTCATACTTTTTGTGCAAACACAGAGGCGAAAGCGAACATCAAGTCATAGCGAATTATGCTCAACAAATATTATAAATCACATTATTCTATTATAACACAGGCCCTTGAAGGACATTTGTCATGCAAATTGATGCAGCCAAAAAGTGAAGTGATACAATTAATGTCCCAAGACATTTAATAAATTGCTGTAGCAGCAATACGAGACCGCTCATGGGAAGCGACAGATGACCACAGCAATAAGCTAATGTAAGGGGCCCGCTTCTAAGTTTTGGCAAACCCTGTCATTCTTCTTTTTTTTGAAGGACAAGACATTCAGCTTCCTTTGCTTCAGTGTATTATACATACAGTCTGCCTGCTTGAATTCAGAGCCATAGGTCTCCAGATAAGAAAAGTTAAATGTTTTTTCCTCCTCGCTCTGCTTTAGTGACTTCTTACAGCTGAAGAGCACGCTTCAAAAAGTCCTGAGCATTAAATGGATTTTGTATGAGTATGTGGTACTGGTGATAGACATTGTGTAGACCGCATACATTCCACAATCCGGCACACTTTTCATTCCAAGCAGGACTCGACAATAAGACCTGCCTGTCTGTCTCGGGGTCAGCGTAAACGTCGCTTGGGACAGTTCACACAATCTGGGCAGTGCTGCACCACAAAAGTTTATCATTTGCAAGTGTTTTTAAGCCTTGGCAATTTAAATATCCAAGCGCAAGAAGACTCCAAGAACTCCATTCAATAGTGTGAGAAGTTGTGTGCGCACACACATCCGAAGCCCAGAAAGCCGCTTCTCAGACAGCATACAAATGCTGAATTAAGCTCTCTTTCACATCATTTCATGTAAAAAAATTGCGTCAAAAATGCCGGTCTTGGTAAGTAGTAAACAGTCTGTTATGTCTTTCAACATAAACAGTTGAGAAATAAAACGCATGTGTAATTGGATCCGTTTATTGGATCTGTGCAGCTCTTAAAGTGACAGGAGCCCAATAAACCAACCTGCTGCTGCCTTTGTTTTAATGTTAATCAAACAACAAAGGACAAAGAAAAAAAATAACTCACTGCTCTTGACTGAATGACTTTTGTAACTTTAAAAAGGATTAATCTATATTTAAATTATGCAGTGAAGACTATGCAGTGCTAGTTTTTCATTTGATTATTAATTTTCTGTACCTGAAAATTACTGCTAGACTTACCTGAAAAACATAAAAAGCAGTGTTTATTTTATTTGTTTATTATATTTGTGCAATTGATCGTAATTTTATTATTTGTTCTTATTTTATTACTGACAGTTTACTTGTCTTTCACAATATTTGAATTTTTTATGAGTTAGGCTAGTAGTTTTTGGAGTCACAGCATTATTAAGGTTATGGCTAAAAAACAAAGACAATAACTAGGCCTATTTTATGTATTTATTACTTTTTTTTGTGGTGGGCAAAATTTTGGCAGGGCAAGTAAAAAAAAACTAACGCTGGACCGACCGGGCCAGTAGATTTTTTTAAAAGCGTTAATTCCATGTGCTTTATTGTGGGAAATATTAGATATGTTAAATAAACTTATCTAACATAAAATCAATGTAGCATGAAAAGTAGCTAGATTTAAACATCAAATGTCTTTATCACAAGTAGTAAAGTAATTTGGACCCTTTCTACATGATAAGTAAACATTTGTAGCTCTCAATTTTTACACAAAAAGTAATACATTTATCATGCTCAACAATTCAACCCTGTTACTCAAGTTATTGTAAGAAAACATTATCAACAATCAACAATATTTTAACTTATGGGAAATACAAGTTACATAAATAACAACAATTACACATTTGGTTTCAAACTAGCTAGCTCTAGAAATTAAAATTTGATGTGCATTTCAAAAACAGAAACGGCAAATCATAGAAAATGAACTGAGGATACATAACTGCTCATTTATATCTATCTAGTTTAACTTCCTGACTGAGGCTGACGATCAATTTTCTGAAAATTAAGTATCTACTTTTAACTGGCCAATTGATGAATAAACAAATACAGCCTTTGTTTCTAAGGGTTTCTGGCCCTATTTGTATCCTATTTATGGCAAAGTGCCACAGAGGGATTCAAAATTCAGGGCTCGCTAAATTCATTGCACAAAAAAAAAAGAACACTCCAGTTCCAGACAAATTCATCTTTGCCATACAGCCAATGACAAAACAAAAACAAAAAAACAACAGCAACAGAGCACACCATCTTAACACTCACACCTCAACAGAATCTGAGAACAGAAAAGACCCACAATTACCTGGTCCCACTGTCACCGCACATATGCCCACACCCTCCCAAAGAGATCCAGATCGCTCCATTGAAAAGACTTCCCTTCCCTTGAGCGATAATGAGCATGGAAATGTATTACATAAGGACAAATAGGAGCAGAGAGGACTCAGCAGCGATCTAAAGCCCCATGCTAATGGAAATTCAAAGAGACAGAATTCAATTATGCTTCTGACAGCATCCGCCCCCAACCGGCTCCATCCCTTAAAGGTAGATGAGACACCATCATTAGCGTTCCGCATTTCCCACATAACGCCTTTGTGGGAGGACCGAGATAGGTGCGGTGGAGATCAGAGCTCAGTCTGTCATGTGGGAAACTCAATTAGGCATGCTGTGTGTTGAACGAACTGACTCAGGATCACAGATGGCAATAAACACACATGCGTAGACATACACCTTCATGCCCTCCTCAGCCTCTATGACCCTGTTGGGTACTCCAAAATAAATGGTCATCCTATTCAAGCACCATACGCTATTCTAAAGCATGAGTCATGCGTCAAGTCAATAAGTTTTGTGTGCAGGGGGTTTGGAAGTGGGTATCCAAGGCTCAAAATTGCTAAAGAGGAAAAACAGTTAGTGGCCGAGATTGCGGTCTTCAAACAAGTTGAGTGGAAAAAAATGAAGTTGAAAGCCAAGAAAAGTTTGAAGGTTCCGAGAAAAAGTAGCTGGCCTATTTCAACAAATTTTCGCAAAATATCCAATTGGATCGTTCAGTCTCCAGGATTATTGCATTCCCATTTTCTTCACACTGATCCCACTCTGTCCATGACCTACTTCCTTAATGGTATCCCCCAGTGAGTGGACTGCAGTTGGCCATCTCTCAGGTCCCTGTCATCTGTAGAAAATGTGTGGGCGCATCTCTGCTTTGCTCTATCACACTGCTGCCTGTGAGGAGTTACTTTTTTTAAACCCAGCTTTATATAAGTTGTTCACAAGGGGACTCAATGTCCCCAAGATGGTCTCAAAAAGGTGCTTTAAGGATTGGTTCTGGAAAAAGAAACCATGCTTGGCTAAGCTAGAACAAGCTTCACATCCTACCATTTATCAAGAAATGATTCAGAGGCAAGCTTTGATTGCTAATTATCAGAAACATTTAAACTACTTTTGTAACATCTCTTTCTAAAAGCAGAGAAAGACGCTGAGAAGATGCTGAGCTGTAGCACTCGCATGAACTGAACTAGAATGCAATGGAACAAGATAAGCCATAAGAAAACACAAGGTAATCACCACAGACATTGCTGTAAACATGACCTGTGCAATAAATTATGAATAAAATTAAACGGTGCATTCGCATACTGTCTGAGTAGGTACTACATTTCAATTTGAACTTACTTAACGTCTGTTAAAAAAGTATGTTACTGTATATATAGTATAAATAAAATAGTATGAATGGAACTCGGACATATTAGTATTACGTGACTTGGCTACCAGCGTTAATTGCGTCGCTTCACTGCTATTTATAAATCCTCTCCCGTGAACTCATGGGATAGTAAAGTGTCCATTGAATGCGCACTTCAGAATCTCGGCGGAAGTGTCATCTGGGTACTTTTTGCCTAGTGTTTTTCGAATACTATTTGAACATACTACTCTGTACATGTACTACTCATGTACTCTATACTGTTTTTCCCATACCAAGTATTCGATTTCGAACACAGCAAAGTTCTCCTGGACATTTTAAAATAAAAATAGTTCAAGGTTCTACATTAACATACAGTTTGACCAGAAACATCCTCTCTAGTCTAAAAACACCATCTATTACCTTCATTCCGCATGTATTGCTGTTTATATTAGTACGTCACAGCTGGTATAAAGACACAATATCAGTATTAGAGAAACACCAACAATTTGCCACTTAGGTGTTGCCACCAACACCTAAGTGGCAAAAAAGTACACTAGCAGTAACCTGCTCAAATACAAGAGCCAAATCAATGTAGACTCACCCACAATTCACCCAGGCGATGGTACCCTGACCTTTCACGGCCTGAGCCACATCAGACAGCAGCTTTAGATGAGAATCTCCAGACGAAGCTGACGACACACACAAAAACACATTTAGAAGACTGTAGAAGAGACAGTAACACCCTTAAACATCATAAGCTTGTATCTAGTGTAAGCGGATGGTCTCCAACACTGTACCCATGGCACCTGGAAGCCCACATTGAGCCTGCATGTCGCCCGCAGAGAGCACATGCTATAAATAGCCTCAATTATAATGCTTGAAATCACTTTATTTCTTTTTTTTTTCATAATACATGAAATTAAAGAAAATAACTTTTAACATTTTGCATAGCATTAAAATATTTAATGTTTTTTAAAAAATAAATTTACAAATGAATTTTCACATTTAGCCAATGCTTCTGATCTGCATTCTCATAGCCTACTAAGCAAGCCATTGCTAGTTCAAAAGATCTCTGTGTGAGTGAGTGAGAAAATCTGTTTTGTATAGTGTTTTGATTAGTGTTTACATGAAAGTTTTTCATTCTGATTGCGCTATTAGTCAGATTAATAACCGACTATTAGGCTGTATGTAAACACAGATACTTTGAACTAAAATATGTTTGCAGGGCAATATATGAATACATACAAAAATAAATAATTACAAAATTAAAAGTAAGGAAAAGGAATGACGTGGATTCACATACAAACATGATTCCCATCACTCTCTTCAGAATAACATTTCAGGTGAAACATGGGAGTATAAGTGACTGTAAAGAATTTATAATGTTACAAACATTCGTATTTCAAATAAATGCTGTTCATTTGAACTTTCTATTCATCAAAGAATCCTAAAAAATAATCAGTTTACACATAAATATTAAGCAGGACAACTGTTTTTAACATGATAATAATAATAAGAAATGTTTCTTGAGCACCAAATCAGCATATTAGAATGATTTCTGAAGGATCATGTGACACTGTAGACAGGAGTAATGTCTTACTTTATATTGATATATGTTGAATATATATAAAAATACAAAACAGTTATTTTAAATTGTAATAATTTCACAATATTACTGTTTTACTGTATTTCTAAGCATAAGAGACTTCTTTCAAAAACATTTAGAAAATCTGATATATATATATATATATGTGTATGTGTGTGTGTGTGTGTGTGTGTGTGTGTGTGTGTGTGTGTGTGTGTGTGTGTGTGTGTGTGTGTATGTACACATACACTACAGTATTTGGTGAGTACATGAATCCAGATGTTCATAAAATCAAACTTAAGTTAAGTTTTTTTTTTTATTGATATGAACTCAAGTTCACATAAAAAAGCAGCCTGGTCTAGAAATGCATACATAGTTACGTATACGGTACATTGTTGCACATCCATCATTTTCTTTAAAATGTGGGGTGAAGGTTGTCATCAGGGCAAGTGCAATATTTACAACGTTTACTTGGTGATAAAACGTGTAGACCGGGTAAATGAATAAATAATATATAATTTTAAAAATCCAAAAAAGTGAAGTGAATGTTGTTCTCCAATTTCACAAGCTTTTCTGCCCATAGTTCTCACTTTGATTATGAAAGCAATTTGCCAACACACCTCGGTGCGGAACAACAGAGCACAGCGTGAAAGTACTAAGTGTAAAAACACAGTGACAGTTTTACTACACCACAGATTTACACATTTGTGAGAGTCTTGGATCTAATACTACACCACTGAACCTGCAATCTGCTTTTCTTCCCATTAATCACATCGGCCAAGGTCAAAGGTACAATAATTTCAGGGTTCTGCCTATCAGTACATCTTGGTTTTAATCTAATGAACCTAATTGAAGCCAATACCTTTTTGAATGAGAAGTGCCTGTTTACCACCTGATCATGAATGTGTTCCTATAGTCTAAAGCAACTATCACAGTTAGCAGGATGCATCTAATGGAAATGCACAGGATGAGCAGCGCTAGTCAGCCATCAATCAAACACACTGTTCGATACACAGTCTTATCCAATGACCTCATGCGCTCGAAATGAGTCGTGAATTATGAAACAAATAAATCTTGCACAGCAAAACCTTGAGAGGCTCTTTCCTTGCTTTGTGGGTGGGAGATTGTTTATGGACTGTTCATCCATACGGTACCCATATATGGCCCTGTGCCTGCTAGATTTGCTAATAACAGCCACAGCCAGGAGTGATGCAAATGAATATGCAGTGTTAGGGGGTTTTTCTAATGGCTGGGAGAGAGAAAAGCATTACATTAAGTTGAGGGTGCTGAAGTTTTTATGCTTCTCTGTTCTTTAAGTTCTTCTCTGTCTATGGCCATAAGATTTATATTTACTCCGCTAATGAGTGTGCTAAGTAGAGAAAACTCCAAGTGTGCTGTACAGAAGGTCAAGTATGTAAAGGCGCCAACATGCTTTTGGTAGTGAAAGCAAACTTGATGTACCTATTGTGACATACAGTAACAGGTTTGTTGGCATATACTGTAGCAGAATCATAGTTCTCAATGAATTTCCCTTAGGGCATGTAATACATACACTTCTAGCAACACAAGCTTGACTTTATGCATCATGTTCCTAAATGTGCCAGGATGCAAATCACAATGGACATTCATATTGCATTCTCAGGCATAACAAAAATATCTGCTTCTATGGTGAGTTCTCTTTCAGGTTAAATACTGTCATGGCAGAACGGCAGAAAATCCTGCTGAGCAAGTTAAAGTCAGCATGTTTATAGCTAACACAGGGTTGGAAGAGTAAGGATTCTTCTTCGGTCATCTTCGGAACACAAATTAAGATATTTTTGATGAAATCTGAGAGTTGTCTCACTCCTTCATAGGCTTCTTCTAGGCAATTTCATTCTGCCGGTCCAGAAAAGTTGGTAAAAACATTGTTAAAGTCCAAGTGACTACAGTGGCTCATCCTTAAGTTTATCAAGCGACGAGAATACTTTTTGTGCGCAAAACCCCCCCAAAATAACCACTTTATTCAACTATTCATTTTCTTCTGTGTGGGCCTCTGAGTGAGTTCACGAGAGCGCCACTATGCATGCGTGAGAACTGAGAAGATGACGCTCACGATCATTTGATGGGAAAGTGTGAAAGGTAAGCCATTCATTTTGCGGCATTGGTAAGGCACTTTTACGTTTTCTCGTTGGTTTCTCACGATATGGACATCCAGGAAATGCACACTTTAGAACCATTTTAAACACTACATCTGCAACAAACACTACATTAAAGACCCATCTGCGTCATCTTCTCAGTTCTCGCGCATGCGTCGTGGCGCTCTCGTGAACTCACTCAGAGGCCCACACAGAAGAAAATGAATAGTTGAATAAAGTCCTTATTTCTGGGGGGTTTTGCGCACAAAAAGTATTCTCGTCGCTTGATAAACTTAAGGTTGAGCCACTGTAGTCACTTGGACTATTTTAACGATGTCTTACTAACTTCTCTGGACCGGCAGAATGAAATTGCCTAGAAGCCTATGGAGGAGTGAGACAGCTCTCAGATTTCATCAAAAATATCTTAATTTGTGTTCCGAAGATGACCGAAAGTCTTACGGGGTTGGAACAACATGAGGGTGAATAATTACTGACAGAATTTGAATTTTTGGGTGAACTAACCCTTTAACAGCTTTTGTTTTTGAAAGAAGTCACTTATTCTCACCAAGGCTGCATTTATTTGATAAAAATACATTAAAAACAGAAATATTTTATAACACATTAAAATAAATGTTTTCTATTTTATTTTAAAACGTAATTTATTCCAGTGATGGTAACGCTGATTTTCAACAGCCATAACTCCAGTATTAAGTGTTACATGATCCTTTATAAATTATTCTCATAAGCTGTCAAAGCAAAAAATGCAAAAGAAGTGCTGCACAGGGTGTGAAATCTCGGTGCTCTTTGGTTGCTTGGGATATTTCAGCTCAACAACAAAAAAAGTTACTCCAAGGCACTCGAATAATGTAGAAAAAAGTTTAAAAAGCCTTTATTTGATCATGGCTTTAAGTGAATAAAATTGGTGACAGATACGCCTACGCGTTGCGGCTTTATTCCTTCGTCAGGGTGTGACATATTGATTGTATTTGCATTTTATTTCAATAATTTTCATTAAAGGGTAACACTTTATTTTAAGATGACGTTGTTACATGTTACATGTACTTACCATAGTAATAACAGTAAATTATGCATAATTACAGGTAACTAACCCTAAACCAAACCCTAACCTCAACTCTATAGTAAGTACATGTAGGTAATTAATATTAACCAGTACTTACTTAAGTAAGTACAATGTAACTACATCACCTTAAAATAGTGTAACCCATTAAAGATGGGTTTCTTTTTTTTACAAAAAGAAAAATAATATGTTTTCCCATTGCAAATATACAATTTGCAAAAACTATACTAAAACTATATACTAAAACACATCTACTGGCAATTGTGATTTGAATAAATCTGTTTATTAAGATATCTCGGCATATTTGGCTACTAAAGCTGTAATACTTTTATTGCATCTGAAAAACAACAGTTTGGAGATGGACTGACCTGACTTGGTGTATAAAACAAGAACATTAGTTCTGGTCCTCAGAAGTTTCTTGAAATCCTTGTGGTCATTGACTTTCTCTATGAGTGGAGACACCTTCGCTGCCTGCAGGGCGGATGACACTGCGACCTGAGGAGGTGAGACAGACAGAGGTCATCATTTTTCACTGTCAAGGCCAAACACCACAGGCAGTTCAAAACAATATCCCAAACTGCATGACAATATAATTGTGGCATTTGTGTAGTCATGACAGTGTGTCAAACCGAAAAGAAACGACAACAGCCATTACAAACAAGAGCCAACATACCATAAAAGTAGTTACATCACATCAGTATATCCATATATCACCCTGTTACCGATTAGAAACAACTGGAAAGCAGCTTAAAGTCAGTGTTGGTCACAAATGCATTAAAAAATTTATTAAATAATAAAATTGTTCCCAAAAGTGCCCTGAAAAAGCTCCCGAATTTGTGCTCTGAAGTGAGATTTCTGCTGTTAAGACTATGCTCTCTCTGCCACACTCTCCATCAGTCTTCCCAGTTCGGATGGAGCTAAGCTGATAAAGCGACAACAGATAAAGGTGCTGTCATCTAAAGAAGAGGAAAATGACAAGATCAGGCAGGCCATGTCACAAACAGAGACAGTGACCCAACCTGCTATCATACGTCCTTATCATCTCCCCATGCTTGAACGGAAAAGACACTACCACAATGAGTAGAAATTAATGCTCCTCCGTTAGTGGACAAGACAGATCAAATGTTATTTACAAAATGACATTCTGAAAGAAAACTCATTTGGTCTGTCGGGATGCCATCTGATAGCTTATCAACACCCTTTGAGACTGTCAGTAGAGTTTCCACATCCTAGACATTGAAGAGAAACTTACAAAGACAGTAATTCACAAGTTAAACTTTAAAAACGTTTTTTGTAGAACCACTCATGCAGTAAATACAGAATTCCCATATTCACCTTGATCTTTTGAGATAAGAGCTTGATGTACTATGAAAACACACTAACGTTCAGAACTCAAAACTTCCTTCCAGGTCCAAAAAGAGCATAAATTGAAACTAAGCTACACAAACATCTGAATTTAGAAGGATCTCAGCTTTAGTACTGAGCAACTGAAGTTCCTTTTAAACACAAATCCTGATTATTTCAGTCTGATTTTAACAGTATGTGTGGTGCATAGAGTTCTGCACTCCATCTTAGGAGTTTGCATCGCTGTGGTTTCCTCAACAAACAGCGAATAGGATTTTTCCATTGGCTTTTGGATTTAAAAAAATAAGCTCTATGACCAACAAAAGTTTATGATTCTTTCTTACACATTTTGTTTATCAAGAACATTCACAACTTTTGAAGCCTAAAAGTAAAAAAAAAGTTTGCAAGACATTATAAATACAACGAGGCTGTAAAAGTAGACTACAGTGAATAGTCTCTCTTGTTAGCTGTTTTTCTAATGTGTTTTGGGTCGTAGAATAAAACGTGAAAATATCTTCAGCTTGTGTTAACCACAGACAGTTCAAGCATTTAACCAAAAACCCACTAAAAAACCCACTGACTTCACTGTGTTCCAAAAATACATCATCCCTATGAAGTCAGTGCTCTGCTCATTTAATATGCAAAGGTGTATTAAAGGTGCATCAATAAAAACTAGGAAATTTCATTCTAAGGATCAAAGGTGGAAAACACAAAACGGTCATGAAAAAAAAACTTACTAACAGTGTAAGAGAAAAATATAATTCAGAACAATGCATTCTCCATCCTCTCCCAAAAAAAGAGAGGCAAAAAGCTTTACAATACAATACAATACAATACAATAAAAAACGACAACAGACAGTAACAGTACAAGTCTGCAAAGATTGATCGGCATCATCACTGGAGTATAACACGGAAGGGTTGAAGAGAGAAACAGGTGCCTCAGACACTGATAACCTTCATCTTTCTAAATGACAAACATCATTAAAAATCACAACTATTCTCAACAACAACAAATTCTCTACGAGAGGGAATGGCCAGTGACCTGACTAAATTCTTCACGGCACATTCTGTTGAGTAACACCATTACATCTGGACAAACGTTAAAGGGATAGTTCACCCAAAAATGCAAACAGTTGACATTCTTTAAAATATCTTCTTTTGTGTTCAGCAGAAAAAAAGTAATTCATACAGGTTTGGAACAACTTGGGGTTGAGTAAATGACAGAATTTAAATTTTTGGGTGAACTATCCCTTTAACCCAAAAAGTCTCTGATAGTCTAGCATTATCATATCCCAGGTCTTAGCTGGAAACCTCATGCAGGGCAGGCAGGGTAAATGAAGGTAAAGAAGGTAATTTTCTGCACCACTAGTGGCACCAAATGGAATTGTAATATGTTTGAGCGGCCTGATTGTCCCTGACGTAACAACATTAGCTCAAACAATGGCGTGAGTTTGACCTACAACTACCTGTTTGTTTGAACAATAATAATAAATAATAATTCATTACATTTATATAGCGCTTTTCTCGGCACTCAATGCGCTTTACACAGAAGGGGGGAATCTCCTCAACCACCACCAATGTGCAGCATCCACCTGGATGATGCGTCGGCAGCCATATTGCGCCAGAACGCCCACCACACAACAGCTTACTGGTGGAGAGGAGACAGAGTGATGAAGCCAATTGGTATATATATATGGGGATTATTAGGAGGCCATGATGGACAGAGGCCACTGGGCAAATTTGGCCAGCATGCCGGGGTTACACCCCTACTCTTTCGAAAGACATCCTGGGATTTTTTGTGACCACAGAGAGTCAGGGCCTCGGTTTAACGTCTCATCCGAAGGACGGTGCTCTTTGACAGTATAGTGTCCCCATTACCATACTGGGGCGTTAGGACCCACACAGACCACAGGATGAGCGCCCCCTGCTGGCCACACTAACACCTCTTCCAGCAGCAACCTGGTTTTCTCAGGAGGTCTCCCATCCAGGTACTAACCAGGCTCAGCCCTGCTTAGCTTCAGTGGGCAACCAGTCTTGGGCTACAGGGTGACATGGCTGCTGGCATGAACAATGGCAGATCCTTTACCTTCACAATTCCATTTGGTGCCACCAGTGGTGCTGAAATTACATACTTCACCTTTAACACTTGCTTAGGCCCAAATGAGAGTAAAACTAGGCTTTGGCATTCATCTTCGGAAAACACAAATTAAGATCTTTTTGATGAAATCTAAATGCTTTCTGTCCCTCCGTTGACAGCTACGCAACTACCACTTTGACGCTTCAAAAAGTTCATAAAGAGATCGTAAAACTAATCTATATGAATTGACCGGTTTAGTCCAAAGAGACACGATCGCTTTAAATGCTGAACAGATTGAATTTAGGCTTTTATTCAGAAATAAACATTCATCAACTCACACATATTATATGAATAAATATATTATATCAATAAATAACAAATAATAAACAATAGTTATAAATAATAAATTCATTTTATAATAATAACAATAATACAAAGTACAGTTTCAAGGTGGGTAAGAATTTGTTATATATACACAGGTAAGTAAAAAAGTAATTAATTACTTGCTACTATCTTCAACAGTGTAATTAGATTACTGTTCTAATTACTCTCTCTAAAAAGTATTGGATTACTTATTACTTTCTAAATCCCATATCAACCTCAAACAGTTGAACAATACAAGGATAGACATGAAACTGCACTTTTAATTATTTCAAATAAACAATTTCATCTTGAACTGACCAAAGTATGTAAAGGGAGGTTACATTAAACATACATTTTAACATTAAATTGATGTTAAAACCACTATTGTTTTATATAGAATTGTATAGTCTATACAGTATTTAATCCAATTACATCAGAAGTTACTGTAAATTGCAAAATAAATAAGAGTAATCCCTTACTTTACTTTTTCAATGGAAAAGTAATTAAATTACAGTAATTGGATTACTCTGTAATTCAATTACACCCAACACGGATTATATATTAGGCCTACATACATTTCTCAATTCACCTGCTGCCAGTGGTAAGTAAAAAGTTTATTTTCTGTGGATTAAAGATAAAAGGACAAGGATCAGAGACAACGATCTGTTCCTTCCTGAAATGAGGAATTTCATTCAGTGGCGTGCTTTTCATTAACACTGTATGAGCAAATGGGGTCCAGTGGAGTGGACAACCTGTGCTGACAGGGTGACATCCCAGCGGCCCCAGCACCTTGGTGCCAGCGAAGGTGTGAATATTAAAGTCAGGGCTAATTAAAGTACTGCAAAGCTGAGAGACCTGAAAAATCACACCTTTTCTGAATTCAGCCGTGCTGACACAGGGAGCAAACATGGCGATGCATTATAAAGAAATGTCAGAGCTACTCACTGAAGAATTTGAAAGGACCAGCTTACTTTCAGCAAGTCACTCAAGTCCAACTTTAAATAGGTTATATCATGAAAGATTTTTTAAAAAGAGAAAAGACTTAGCTGAAATGGCTCGCTCTGAACTATTGCACCTCCTGACAACAGGTAGATGAACATGACCACTCTCATTTACTCGTCAATGCCTATTTGGTCTTCAAAATGTTTAAGTCAGGCAGTAAGAAGAAAGCATTATAATAAGCTATTATTTCTAAACAAAATATAAATATATAAATTCAGTCATTAGGCAGTAAGAAGAAAGCATTATAATAAGCTATTATTTCTAAACAAAATATGAATATGTAAATTCGGTCAAAACGGGTGCTGTTCGGGCTGTGTGTAGCACCTACAGCTCTACATATCCTCACAAAGGATCCCAGCATTAGGAAAGAGTGAATTTAAACAAAGACCCTAATAATTACAGTCTGATCACATTTAAGCACAGATTAGTTTGTGAACAATAATGCAATTCATGCTTTGCAAAAAGCCTGTTAACGCCTGTTAACGGAAAATAAAGGCTTTCCGTGTTTTCACTGTTATATGGTGATATCATACGCAATGAAATCTTCTGAAAACCTTGATAAAAAGACATGTGAAGAAGAAGCAGAAACAAGCGATAGTACAAGTAAGCAGATACATATGTAAAATAACACGATCCTCAACATTAAACAGCATATACTGTAAATCAAAACTGCGTTATGTTATTGAATAAAATGTCGGCCCACGGTGAG